CGACTGACCATGGCTCTCCTCGGCGAGCAACCTCCTCGTCGTCTTCGCCCACACCGGGAAGCCGTCCTCAGCCGACTTACACCGCAGCAAGCTCGGCGTCAGTATATTGAGCGCCCGTCTCACGAGCGTGCGAGACTCGTAGTGCGGCGGCTTCAGCAAACCCGTCCAAGCACGGAGGATGAACTTCTCCGGCGTGTCGTACGCGGCAAAGAAGTTGGCCGCGAGCAAGTACGCGACCTGGCGTACCATAGCGTCCTCGCTGGTGATGAAGTTCCATGTGCACTTGATGATGTCGCGACGGGCCTCATCAAGCTGGGGGCCGTAGTTCTGAACCAGGACCGTCGTGAAGTGCAGCAGCTCGATGTGCAGGAGGTAGTCACCGTCAAGAAGCGGGTTCTCAGCCATCATAGGCATCAAGATCAGCTTATGGATCTGTTTGACGAGGCCGGAGTCGAGTAACGCGTCGCGCGAAGCCGAGCGTGCGCGGTAGACGATCATGGGCGTGATGATGAGCCGCAGGATGGCCGTCTTGTGCTCGATACTCCACACGTCTTGCTCGAGACCGGCGAGGAAGCGGTAGAATACGCTGCGCTGGTACGCGACGTCGTCACTGAACGCTACGAGGTCATACAGCAAGCGTGTCGGGCGAATGAGATCCATCGGGTAATTGCGCGTAAAGACCGTGATCATCTCAAACGGCAAGTCGACGCGCGGGCGCATGCGCATGACCTTCGCAAAGAGCGCGAGGATGAGCTTGTGGTTGAGGACGGCCGTGGAGATCGTGCCGGCGCTGCTGCTCTGCCCGAAGGGCGGGAGCACCTGCCGCCAGACGTCGAGCAACGCATCGATTACGAGAGGGTAGTCCAAGAACCAGTTGATGTCGAACTCCGAGAGATCGTCAAAGATCTGTAGCGCGGGCGAGAGCAGCGCCGCGTTTCCACTCCGAAGGCAGTAGTCGACAAGGTACGGGGTGCGTGTGGCGATCTCGCGAGCAAGCGCAGGTGCGAGGCCGGCTTGAAGGATGCTGCGGTATGTACGGACATGGCGTGGGAGATGCAAGTTGCGCATCAGGAAGTCCGCAGCGTCGATCGGGTAGCGTTCGAGGAACTTGGCGAGTGGCTTGGAGAACGGGCTCTCAGCGGAGTAGTGCATCTGCGCCTCCGTTTGGACAATCGCATTCGTGAGCGGTTCGAGGAACATGTTCGCCGTCGGTGGCAGCAGGTGGAAGATGTTGGTGAGCGAGACAAGCTTGTCGATAGGCTCCATAGCGCGCACGGGCGTCATCGCCGCCGTAGACAGCAACTGAGGGTCCGCGACGACGCGATAATGATCCAGAAGCTTGTGGCCGATCTCTACCTTGAAGTAATTGGTAAGGAGCTCCAGCAGACGCGCGAGGCCTTCGAGACCGGCGACAGACAGGCGCTTCGGGTCCGCGAGGTTCATCAGAATAGGACGCAGACCCGTCTGGAGGAGCTCCTTCGGTAGACGGCTCTGATGCGCGAGCAGGACCTTCAATCCGTCGTGCGCGGCCTCTTTCACCTCCGGCGACGTTGAGTACAACGACTTGAAGTACACAGCCGTGAGCCTGTGAATGCCATCAGTGCACATCCCACGATCTCGACATCTGATCACTCACTTCTGCCTTGTCGTCGGTTGCTTCGAATAATAATCCGTGAGCGGCAAGCTCGCGCTCAGCAGCCTAATGCATGCTATCCGCAGCCGCATGATCTCCCTCGCACTCTGCCTCGCATTGTTCCCTCTCCCCATCAGCGTCTGATCCTCCGCGTCTGCCAGCGCCAACACCTCGTGCAACAGCCTCAACAGCTCATCGTTCACCTCCGGCAATGGTGGATCTAGCGCCGCCACATATCTCATCGCGTCAATCATGCCAATCTGCATGTTGAACGGCAGAGCGCGCAGCGGCTTGGTGTAGACATTCGCGAGCATACGCTCGCGCATGGGCCTGAGCATCTCGGAGACCTTGCGCCCGACGAGCGTGCTGACGAGATCAATCGCTTCTTCAGCCGTCTTGCGTACCACGCTCGACGCCGCGCTGAGCTCGGCGATCAAAATCCCGACGACCTGTGCCGGCTTTGAGCGGTCAGGCATCGGTTCCCCGGCCGGGATAGGGCGTATCGCGAGTCGCACAATGCGCTGGAGCAGATTGGTAACGAGCTCGATATTGCTCTCGCTCTCGCCGGTCATGTCCTTGAGGATGTGGAATAACGTCCTCGCGATCTCTGCTTCGCGCTCGTCGAGCCACCGCGGCTCAGCGTTGGGTGTGTCGAGCAGAATCTGGATGCCGATGACGCACGCGCGCTTACGCGCCCAGCCGTCCTCCACCGCCAGCGCGGTGAGCCTGCGTGAGAGGAATCTGAACGTCGGCACCGTATCAGCGCTCGCTCTCCGTGCCGCAGCGACGAAGTCGGCGATGACGCCCGCGACGAGTGTTGCGCTTTCGTTCGCCTCGCCTCCCCGGTCGAGCGTGAGACCGTACACGATCGCGTTCGTGAGGCAAGTGAACACTGGCGATGCGTGTGGCGGTGTGCGCGGGTCTGCAGCCTGTGTACTAAGCCGGCGCAGCTCGAGCGCGAGGAGGCTGGCTGAGACCTGCTTGATGAAGTCCGACGCTTGCCCCTTGAGGCTCTCGATCTTGAGCGCGTCAAAGATGCCCTCTAGCGCTCGCTCCAGCACTTCCTCCCGATTCCTCCCACGCGCGCCGTCGGCTACGAGCAGAGCGGCGCAGTTCTCCAGGAACGCGTACGCGTGTGGAATGTGCGAGCCTGTACCGCCTTTCCTCAACGAACGCGCGGCAAGAATGCTGGGCTGTGTGAGGTCGATGGTCTCAAGATCGCGGCCCATAGATACGAGTACTGCTGCGGGTGCGGCGTAGTGCCGGAAGTCCATCTCTGGCTCGAGATCAAGCAGGCGCCGATTGCGACCGCCTAGTTTGCCCAAAATACGGAGTGCAGTATGCGAATGTTGATGGTTGGCCGGGAGCGGCCGAAGGAGACCGTGGAGCGCGTCGGTGAGCTCGCGCAAGACCGTGTTCAACGTCGGGTCGAGGCATCCGGGTGTGAGATTGTCAATGAAAAGTTCAAGCGTACGCAAGCCTTGGTTGACGAGGTCTGTGGGGCCCTTCAACGAGAGTGCGAGCGGTTTCATGAGGTACTGCAGCTGGGGTACCAGATGCGTGAGGCGCAGAGGAACCGTCAAGCAGAGCTCGACCACCAGGTCGCGCGCGAAGCCGTCGGAGACCATGAGCTGCGCATTCAAGTTCTCCAATATCTCCGGCAGTAACGGGTGTATGCGTTGGTACAGAAGCTCGAAACGGCCTTGACCGCCGCCGACCGCACGGAAGAGAGCGCGAAGGAGGTGATAGTAGTTGACGGCCTTATTGGAATGTGCGGCGCAGCTGAAACTGTCCATGATCAGCCGCGGCAGGAAGTGCGCGAGGACAGGCTCGTTGATAGAGGGCAGCGCGATCATCGAGCTGAATGTGAGTTTGAACAGCTTGATCGTCATGACCGCGGTCGCGTCGTCGTACTCGCCAAGCTGAGTTAAGTGGTCGACGAGGTACTCTAACACCACAGCGACCAGCGTCGGCGAGATATGCTCCTTGCCGTAGAGCAGCTGAGGGAGATGCACGAGTCCGGGTCGTTTGCGCGCACATTGGAAGAAGAAGTCCATGCGCCGCGTCCAAACTTGCTGCACGACGTGGGCGTCCATGTCGTAGAACGCTTGCGCGAGCCATTCCATAAGCTCTTGTGACTCGCGCGTCTCCGGCTCGTAGAAGGTCAGGGCAGAGATGAAGCCGTCAAACAAGCGCGTGACAAGTGTACCGTCAACCACGGTGTTCTCGACCTTCTTCAGCGAGGAGAAGCAGACGCGGAAGCCGTGCACGAGGGTGCGTATCAGGAGTCGGATATCTGGTATGCATAAGTGAGTCGTGACTTTACAAGTGATATCATACAGTCAGGGCTTACCTCCGAGTACCTCCTCTGGCCTCTCAGTCGCGTATACTGCGGGCGCGATGGGTCGGGCAGCTTCGACGACATGAACTAGGGTGTTGTCGTCCTCGCCCTTCTTGCCGAGCTCGATCCGCTCGAGGACCTCGGGCAAGATAGCCACAGCAGCTTCGAGGCGGTCGACTGAGACCTCGAGCAAGAGCGTGATGATGCGCACGGCTTCATCGCGAGACTCCTTGGTGACGATTGTGTCGACGAGACCGAAGAGCATCTTGCCGGCCAACGTGTGCACCCCGTTTGAAAGCGCCGGATTGTGGAATAGGCGCGAAAAGACATGAATACCATGGGCTAATTGCATCATCGTGAGCTCGTTCCGGACATGGTGCACTAGGTCCGCGATGGCAGCATACGCGGTAGCTCTACCGAAGCAGGGCATAAGTAAGAGGCCCGGAATGATATTGCATCGAATCATGCATACCGAAGCGTCTCCCGAGTACTCGCATTGCGCCCAAGTAGCACGTTTTCGTCGAGCAACTTGTCTATGTGCGGTAGGATTGCCTTGCGCTGAGGTAGCGTGAGCAAGTGTCGGAGCACAACCATATGATCCTGCATCAAAGGGCGTCAGTCTCCTTGCCATTTCATTACAGCGAGTTCGCCTACCCGACGTGAGGACAACGCCGTCGCGGGAATGTCCTGCAGGATACGAAGAGCCGCAAGCTCGAGTCCCTCAAGAAACTTTTCCGCGTACTCCGAGTGCGTTCGCATGATGTATGCAAGATATGAGACCATCTATTACAACATGTCAATACCGTACAATCACCGGTTCTACTATGATGTACCTTGATCTGTGCCGTGATGTAGTCCGTATATGCAGCAGCGTTGGGTATCGTAGGGGCCATACCGCTCCAGAACCCGCCCATAGCTTCGAACTCCGTCCGTGCCTCGCGCTGTGCCGGTGCTTCCAGACAGGTTGCTTCGTACATACGAGGTACGATACCCTGAAGAAGGGGCATCAGACCGGCGAAGCGCGGTGTACTCTGTATGGAGCCGATGGTCTGAGCGAACGTGACGATAACAATCCCCATTTCGCTGAGTACACGGAAAGAGCGCATAGCCGGTGGTAAAGCGCGAGGGTCTGGCGGGGCCATAAGAGTCTCATTTATCATCTGAGGTAGATGCGCGAGCTGCTGGCTGAATATGTCCAAGAACTCGCGAACAATCTCGTCGGTGAATATCCTGTACGTCCTGACAATGTCCTGGATCGCGCGACACGCCGTGACTCCGTTCTCCTCGTTGTCTCTCCTCAAGATTTCGAACATCCCGCTCAATAGCGTAGGCAGCACGTTCCGGCTACTCTCCTGGCTGCCACTAGCGCTCCAATTATGTAAGCAGACGCGATGAAGCGCCTCCATCAATATTCGCCGGAAAGTGTATTCGGCGCTGTTCGACACGGACGCAGCCTCTGCGCCTGCTGGGACCGGGCCCTTGTGCAGCGCCACTTCGGTCGTCCGCATCAGCTCGAGCAGCGTCGGCACCAGGCTCGGGAATATTCGGCCGGCGTCTGCGTCCCGCACTCCGTCCACTGCCTCCCGCAACTCACTCGCCGTCGCCACTCGCGTGCGCATGTCTGCGCTCAACGTCTCAGCCGGTGCCACAGCGCCCAAACACAGCGAATTACATACCGATACTCGGGTCCGAGATCGTCGCCGCCTTCTGTTCTAGATCCATCACTGCGCCGGTACTTGGGCCCTCCATGTCGTGGGGTTGGGAGGGCAAAATGTGGGGGTACCGAGTGGGGGAGGGAGGGGGGCAGGCAAGTCGCGTCGAAATATCCGGCCTCGCAGACTTGGAAGCGCGTATCAGCACGTGAGTTTCACGGGACTTTGTTGATGGATATGGATCCAATGCAGATCGGGTTTTCTTTGGGCTTTCGGTCGAATAACATGACGCAGCGCCTGTTGACAGGATGACTTTGAGATGGATTCACGCTTCACTACAGGATAAATGATGAGCCCGGAGCGAGGAGGAGAATCCTGCCAGTTCGGCGTTGGAATGACCCCCCGGCGAAGCTAGCCCGAGGTAGCGCGTCTTGCACATCCTCGGTTATCCTCAAATTGAAGTCACGCATATTGCGATACTGCATGCACTTCATTAAGGCCTCCGACTTAGAGCTACTTGATTCCTCGGGCGGAGATCGCGACTTGCGCGCATGAATATCTTTCGCGCTACAAGTCGTAGCCCTGTCATTCTAGTCTATGCAGACGCCACAAGTATATATTGACTCGCGGGCGCGAGAGTGTTCATCTACGGCTTAAGCTTGAGAGGAGAGAGGAGAATATACTGCCAAGTATGCGAGGATTCTCTCAACTTCGACAGTCGATGGACGTCAAGAGCAAGCCCGGACCACTACCGGAGTCTGCGCCTTTCGGTGCCGACATCCGCAAACGCCGGATGGGAATTCTGTGTGCTCTCTCCGCTCATCTCCCGACCACAACCCGACCAGGTGCTTGCTCAGCCTTACTTCTTCTATGATGTTCGCTGGGACAGGCGCAACCAGTTCAGAAGGCTGATGCTGACTGTCTATGAGAGTAAATGCGTCATATGCCGACGGGAGTATGGAAGTGGGTCTCCGAAGCCTATATAGGTTCGCGCCTTGACAACAACTATCACCCCTACCCCATACATCGAGCATGTCTTTCACGATCACCTCTGCGATCAAGTTGCCCTCGGGACACTCCATCCCCCGTCTCGGTCTAGGCGTCTACCAGAACGTCGACGAGTGCTACACGGCGAGTTTGGCCGCACTCAAGCATGGCTACCGGTACGGGCTTGGTCTTATACTGTCGACAGCTTGATCTCACTATTGCTTCAGTCACATCGATACCGCGGAAATGTATGGTAACGAGAAGGAGGTCGGACAGGCCGTTCGCGACAGCGGTATCAAGCGAGAGGAGATATACATCAGTGAGTACCGTACAGTCTAGCGTATGCGAACGAATGGGGTCCTAACGCGGTTCCAGCATCTAAGGTTCCCCCGAACTCTCCTGATGCCGCAGTGAGCGTAAAGAACTCGGCTGAGAAGCTCAACCTTGGTGAGTGCCATACGCGGTACTTGGGTCGACACGGCGTGCTGATGTTACCCACTGTCCAGGGTACATCGATCTATATCTGATCCACAGTGCTCACGGTGGCAAGGAGCACCGTCTTCAGTTCTGGAAGGCCCTCATCGATGGTAAGAAGGCGGGTCTTCTGCGCGACATCGGTGTGTCGAACTAGTGAGTCGATATCGCTTGCGCTGCGTGATACGCTGAGCGCTGATCCTGCCTAGTAACATCAAGCACCTCGAAGAGATTCGTGAGGCTGGTCTTGAGATGCCCGCCGTTAACCAGATCGAGGTATGTTTGCTACCACAAGTGCTGATCGGAGCAGTCGTTAACGGATCTATCGGTCAGCTTCACCCCCTCGACCAGCAGAAGCCCATCGTAGACTACTGCGTGAAGAACAACATCGTCGTCGAGGCATACTGCCCACTTGTTCGTGGCGCCTTCGACAACCCCACGCTCCAAGAAGTATCCAAGAAGGTACGCTTCTGACGCGGTTCATCCAACATATGTCGTCGCTGATGGTTGCTCCAAGGTCGGCAAGTCGCCCGCTCAGGTCCTGGTACGCTGGTCGCTACAGAGGGAGTAAGTAGACCTCTTCACAGTGTGGATTAAAGGCTGATCCATGATACGTAGCTTCATTCCGCTCCCGAAGTCGGCCAACCCGCAGCGTATCGTTCATAACGCGGAGGTCTTCGACTTCAACCTGGCCGAGGAGGACATGGCCGCTCTCGACGGCCTCGACAAGGGCGACGCGGGCGCGATCTCATGGAACCCTATCCACGAGGATTAGATGGCAGTGCCCGAAGAGGATTTTGATGTACCAATAACTGAAATTGAATAAATACATACACTTGTAGTCTTGTATGTTCGCATCTAGTCTATTGCGAGAACGTTGGCGAGAAGATGAGTTGCCGGTGCACGAAGCCCTATACCCCTGAGTTAAGCAATGTATGGTCTATTTTCCATGTACTAGCCTGTGTCTCGTGGGGTATCGTGTTGAATGAAGGTATACTACAGATACATCGTGTGAAGGCTCGATGATGCGAAAGACGATGCAAAGGTGGTCGGGAAAGTGACGAATATGCTACAGGTGGATCCGAACGATTAAATAGTCAGATGCCGTTGGCTTCGGCGTCCTCGATCTTCTTACTGTGACGGAAGAGTGACAAGATAGTCCGGGTATACACGAGTCGGTGCGATGGGTTGAGGATCTTCCAGATGCCTGCTGCGGAGGCGAGGATGAGAGCGCCGAAGACAATGCCGAAGTTGAGTGGGACGGAGCAGAACAAGATGCACGATGCTTGGATGACGAAGAGGATCAGAGCCCAGATGAATGAGGCACGGGGCAGGCAGAAAATAATAGCTAGAGGCGTCATGTTGCCATCCTGAGCGGCCAGGAACGTGCACTGTATAGTTGTCAGAAGCGGATCCAGATTGGTTCATTTGGGTACTCACAGCGTCGTCTACGTCCAGCGTGAGGCGCTTGAAGTGCTGTTGGAGGAGTACGGCCAGCAAGAGAGCCGCTGCGGACAAAACGAGGGAGGTGTGGGCGAGTGCCGGGATCGGCGACACCGGTAATGCAAGAGCGCTCGAGCTGTGGCACCGCTTTAGCAATGGGCAGTCGGAGTGATCGAGTTCAGCTTACATGATGAGCGCAAAGGTCCACGTCATGATCTTCTGCCACTCGGCAGTTTGCTCCGCAATGAGTGCAGACCAAACCTTTTCGATCACGAGGCCGTCGACAAGCTGCACATCAAGCTGTGCACGGATCTCGTGCGCAAGCCCAAAAGTCGCTGCGGACAGGCATCGAGAGATGATGCCAGGTTGACGCTCCTCATGCGTGAATACCCGCGTTGTCCGATCCAGGCGGCAGTGCTCCTCGCCATAATAGTTCTGAAACCTCGCATTGGCTACGAAGCTCCATAGTCTTCCGATGAACGAAAACACCATCGGGTTTCGTGGCATTGCTGCGAGACCATGAGCATTGGAGGGAAAGTGCGGTTGGGATTCGTAACGCACAGCGACACTTCATGAGAACATCAAGATGAACGTCAGTTACTTCGGGCGTGAAGTAGAAAGTCGACGTTTCGGACGTCGCTAGGTCGGCGCGTCCGTGGAGGTAAATGGAGATCAGTTCTTCCAAGGCCCCTGGAAGGTCGTCTAAGTGCATGCAGAACATCTCGACGTGCTTCCAATAGTTCTCCTCGAGCGCAAGTTCTGGGCAGCCCCGAATTAATACTCTCGTTGCAACTCAAATATGACTGCCACTCACTCAAATGGGCATCTGAGCAGGCTGACGGCAACCCGAGCTCACTCGTAGTCGCAGATTCGAGCCAGAATACTGCGCGACTGCCGTGATCAACGAGGTAATAGTCGCAAATCTCGGTGTCGAGTTCGGGCTCAACGAAGAGCTCTACAGACGGCCCCAGAAGCACGTCAAGCTCAGCAGCCCATTCCTTGAGGGCGTCGATCCATGCAGCGACGGCCCTTGAGACTGCCACGTCTGTCACGTCGGCTTCTGTGATGACACGGGGTGAAACGCCGCGCGCATAATAGCGCTTTCCTTCCGGATGAATATAGGTTTGCCAGCCGTCTGAGCAAACGTAGGCAGGTCTGAATATAGCCATGGCTTAATTGCGAGAGCGAGGAAGAATGCTTTATCGACGCACGCAGAACCATGGGTTGAATGGGGCGTCGTAACGGCGACTGTCCAGTCGCGCGGGGCAATGCAAGCCATTTTGCTATCATATCGCGTTGTCCTGCAGGGAGTCGTGGGGTAGAGCTTCTCGCGCAGCGCGAGGCGGGTCCTTGGAAGTTGTGCAGGCTGCATGAAGTGTCGAGTGGTTTGAGAGGCGTGTGTCCCAAAGCAGCCCGTTACTGAGTCTTTAAACCGTGACACCGCCCTCGAGCGGTGCCCGGGCAACGGCCGGGCTCCCAAAGGCACTACATTCCATACCGCATAGCATGGGACTTCGCGCTCAATGAACGTATGGTTGAGTATATGGTGCGTTGAGACATCCTTCCTGTCTCTGGACTTTGTAGGCTTGGAGTGTCAGGAGAAGAACCTCTGGGCGCGAGGCGGCGGAAAACAATCAATCCATCAACGACGCGGCTGGAGTGCCATCACGCTCGTGGCAGACTCCGGCACTAGTCTCCGAGCGCTAAGTAAGAAGCGCTGTTTGAGAGCTTAGCACAGCCCTGCATCCGATTGGAAACAGTCGTATTTGCCCACCATGTCCGAAGCAGTGCAACCTACCCAGAACCCGTCAGAGAACCAGTGCGCAACTCATCGGGGTGTATGTAACCATGTTGACGAATGTAAATGACAGGGACGAACGAAAAGCCGCTGACGACAAGAAGGGTGCCAATACGGACGCGAAACCGGTCTCCGAGTCGCAGCCTCCGACGTCCGTTTGACCTTGACATCCACGACTAGGCCAAGTTGCTTATCCTCCGTTCCCCAGATCGACTGAGACTACCAATTCCGGAGGCGATGATGAGAGTTCCTCGGATTCATCGGGATCCGAGTGCGTCTGCCTTTCAGTTCATCATCATCTAAGATGTTGTCTTTCCTGACCCGCAATGTTAGTGATGAAGACCATCCTGAAGGATGGCGCTCGCGCGGCAAGCCCTCGAAGCCAGTGGGGAGCCAGGCCAAACCTGGAGTCAGAAAATGAAGCCGCGAGCCCGTAGTCATCGTGTATCCAGTATGTTGCCTCCTCTACATTGAAGCGACGTGTTAGTGCGCTTGCCGTTGAGATGCCACTCTCTTGAAAGCCTCGAGATGCCCCGATCCAGGTACAAGCCAGTGTGCATATCTCGATCTGCCACCTAGGTGTGGGCTTGTGATGTCACCGCGGCTATCAGATCTGAGCGCCATGTACTTCGGACCTGTGTACCAGTGAACATATTTACTCAGGATTCACCGCATCCACTGTCCCTATGTGTTTCCTTGTAAGAGGGACCTCGCCACCAAGTACGTTGCCTAAGAGGCCAGAGCATAGGATCACTACAGCGACTTGTAGACGAACCTGTAGTGTTCAGTCGTCTAATCTTCGAACGCATGCAGCTGTATCACTGGACCAAAGTCAGGGCTTCAAGTATTCCACGCGCCAGGTTCAGGTCAGTATTGTATGCGCTATGGACGGCCGTTGGGCCGTCGTTAATAATCCCACACCTCTTGGATGTGCACTTCCGAATATAGCCAAAAGCATGCCTATCGGGGGCACATGTGGGCAGATGGGGAACCGCTAACCCTCTTTGGTACTATGTAATTGTACCTGCAGTACAGCGGTGTCTTCATTCCGCCGCATCGCCCCCGCATCTTATACTTGTCCGCGCTGAACGCATGGTGCTCGAGGCTGTAATATTCGTCACACGACAACTACTGACAGTTCAATACATACGTGTAGAGAGATATGTGCATCATACTATGTATACGCTCAGTACATCGTTCCAACTTGATCGTGCAAGGAAAGTTTATATCGCGGCGACTCTCACAAGGTGGCGCGGGCTGATCAATGCCTTAGACGCCCGCTGTGCTTCTTCGGTAGCCGGCTCCGCCGGTGGGCGCTTGTAGACCTCACCACAAACCGTGATCACCCATTCAGTCACCTAGCCCTACAATCTCATCGCAAGTCATGACAGAGACGAAGGTTGATAATCCCGGCGAGCCAAGGCAAGGGACTTCGGATGTACCGGTAGAGGGAGACCGGTGAGCTTCCTGTGTTGCGGCATCCCGACGTGTTTACGAACATAGCTCTCAGGGCATCGGCTGGCGATCGGCCTGCGCTTGGGCATGAGCCATCAGCGCCAACAGTCGGAAGTTACGAGACCGAGCATACCCAAGGAACCGCGTGAGTTGAACACAACTTCCATGGCGGGTATGGGACACTCAAGAGCTGCATCAAGGTTGGAGAAAGACCTATACGGCGGAGGCGATGAAGGAAACTCTTCAGATCTGGAGTCATCTGGGTACGTCTATTGTATCTTGCTGAGCTAACTATACTCATATATACTACAGAAGTTCGTCCGAGTCTTCCTCCGAAGACGACAGCGGCTATCGTTCTCGCGGACCTCCGAAGCATCCCGTGAACGGTCTCAAGGGTGCTGTCAAGGTCAAGGATAAGCCCAAGCCTAAGCCTGACAGTAAGGACACCAAGAAGTAAGGACACTGAGACCTCGAGCCGTTGAAGAGGAACACCTGCTGTGTTAAGGCTTCCAGCCGTCATGACCTAACAATAGCGGTTTCTACTATCCGAATCTATTACCTTCTCAGCTTCAGCCCTTACAAGAATCAATCCCCCTTTGGTGTATCTATATCTCTTGCTACAATACCCATCATCGACTTTCGCGAGCACCAGATGCAAGAGAGCATGTACGAGTCTACATCTCCCGCCGTCGCGCCGAAGGTCTATATGCAGGATCGCTTTCAGTACCTTGAAGCGTACTGTGGTAACGGTTTTCGCAAGATCCGTGCCAGGCCGTGAGTTATGCGGTATAGTTGCAAGACCATGTCATATAAGGCTCAACGTCAAGGGAATCTAGTAACAACATCTATCATCACAACATCTTGGAAACCCCGATCTGCCATCATTGTGTCAGTGCGTTGCATTGCATGCTGGACGGCATTATTACCTCGATATCCTTAGGATACAGCAATACACCATTGACGTGCTCTTTTCAGACGCTATCCATACAAGCGGTAGCTGTCTTTCTCAACCTTTGTACGAGCGAACGTAGGTTTATGCGCGGCGCCACTCCGGAGCTTTGCGATGCACCATCGCTTTTGAGTGTTGTGGGTGAGTTGTCGTTCTCGCCTCGCAGATAAATCGCCATCTGCCGGACGGCATGTCGTAGTATGTCCAGCCGTGGTGAATCTTCTGTCTCCCAAGTGGCGATGACGCACCAGATAGTGAGGCAGGAGACTCCGAAAGAGATCAGGGCGACGGTAGATTGGGTAACTATGTCGGTCTTGTCGAGGGTGAAGATCACGACGCTGGTTGCGAACGAAAGCATGCTACGCGCACTATAGGTCAGATTCGCCGTACTTTTAGAGCTAGCATTCATGACTTACGACCACATCAGAAGTGCGTATGGAAGGCTGTATAGTATAGCTAGCGGCTCGTGATGAAAGTGGAACGAGTCCTTCCGCTTCATGTAAGCTGCCTGGAAACGAAGTATCAAGACCTAGTACTTCAGATTTCATCTCAGGATAGTACGTACTGCATCATCGGAATCTTCCCGATTCTTGGTGCGATTGTGATGCACGAGCATCAAGCCCAGCACGATGCTCCCGATACTACAGATAATCGATACATAGCTTGCGATGGCCGCAGGAGAGTGTAGTGGCGGCAAGTAGCTTTGAATGTTACTGCCACCACCAGGAGGATTCGGGTTGTCGGAGAACAAGATCACGTCAGGAACGGATAGCACTATAAGCGCGAGTAAGGACAGGGGACTGCTCGCAGCGCGATGACACGGCACACGCACTCGAGACACTGGCTGTTAGACTACACCGCGTCTGTGAGGATATGCCATACATGAATAAGTGGGAAGCCTACATGATCGTTGCCTGTGATGAAGGGTGTCAGCGATCAGCGACTAGAGTCAAGTTTTGCCAGGTGATGATACCAGGAACTCACATAAGCAATCAGCTCTTCCCATTCGCCTTGTAGCTTCGAAATATGACGCTTCCACAGATAGCTGGTGACAATGCCGTCCACATACACCTTCTCCATGTCTCGGAGGTGAACTTCTGGAGCGAAGAGGAAAAGGAAGGAGAAGAGCTGCATGAGCCAAGTACGAGGGCGTGGTGAGGTGATGTCGCGGACGCTTTCTAGACGATCCAGTCTAGCACTTCGTTGCCCATGATAATGCACGAAGCGCCAATGACCTTCAGAATGCTTCATGTGTATGATCCGTCAGGGAATACATCTGGGACTCACAGAATATAGCCATGATGCGTGCGAGTGCAGCAGCAAACGACGTTGCACCAGTACCGTGTCCTAAGTCATGAGTATGAACTCGCGCGTGGAACCGATAAAAATGAAAGGCTGACCCTTTCTTCCTAACAATCTTATCAGGTCTGTCAATTCATTCAGAGTATACGGGACTGTCGTGTTGGGTGACGTTATATGGTCTATCTCAGCGTGGTCAACTACGTGGGGTCGGACCGTTTTGGAGAACTCACCAACGCAATGGTACGTCAAGTCACCCACAAGCTCATCCACGATACAATCGTGAGACTGAAAGTTATCGGGTAACATAGATACATGGTCCCTGCATAAGGGTCAGCGCATCCTTCTGTGAAATCGAGAGCGTGCATTGAGACACCAACCAGTACCAAGACTCGAGAAGGTGCTCTATATGAGGTATGAGTTAGTCATTTGACAGAGAGGAAGGTGGACGTACTGAAGTGCGCAGGACTCACGTCACCGTATACTTCACCGAGATGATCTCCTGCTTGGAACGGACGTAACCAGAATACACTGCGAGTTTCATGATCGGCAAGATAGTAGTGCCACGCCGTACGTTTATCGTCTTCGGACTTGTTGTGGGTCACTTGTATGACGAGATCACAATCTGACGGAAGGGGTGCTCCAGTATATGCTACCGACAGCCTGTTGAGATAGTCGATCAAAAGCTCCACTTCCTCCATGTATACATCGTTGTACAAGTAGGCCTCTGTGAATACGCGCTAACCATGATATGTGAGCATGGCTAACGATGCTGATAACGACTGCGTACTGACCCTCTCTCGATGACAAAAGTATAGTCCACCCTCGGGATGGGTAACAGGCTCCCACCCTTGGAGATCTGGATCAAGGCTCCAGCCATCGGACGAGCTGCAGAATATGCTCAGCGTACTCATGAAGGAGAGACAACGATCAACTGACTGGGGGAAGTCCAAGCGGGAAAGCGGTGGTACCTCGAACGACCAGTGGTCTTCCTGCACCCAGACTTGTCTTGTATAACGTGGTCCCTCGCGAGGTACCAGTTCATCGAGCGTATGACCGGGTGGTACTTCGGGCGCTGTGAAACCAAGTGGGCAAGCTTGTTCGGCCATATATGCCTCATCAAGGCCATCATCGGAGGCCGGTAAGATCGCGCTCAAGCGGTCAGACATATGACTTTGGCCAGAGTAACCCTCGGCAGCAGTGGGAGACGGCGATGCATAACGGTCAGAAATACTCTGCAGAGACTCTGAGCTCGGAGGCTGTATTTTCACGTCGATCATATCGCTGGATTTGCGAGCGCTCCGGCGGCGTCCTTGCTCTGGAGAAGGCGGTTCGAGGCGTATGCCCGGGGCTGAGGAAGATGATGATTCGTGCACTGAAGGTGCATTGACAGGCGTCTGTGTCCTGTATTCTCCGGCGGGAGTTATCACCCCGATCTGAGCTGGCGCGAGGGAGATGCGGCTACTTGTAGCAGAGGACGGGTATCGGGACACCCCGCTCGCCAATCGCGCTCGCGAGGAATGCCGTGACTGAAGTTGACGCGAAGGTGATCGAGATTGAACAGAGCCGCTGACGGCAGAGCGTCCTGGCGCTCGAGAGCGTCCGATGCGCCGTTCAGAGCGTGCGTCAGCTTCAATAACCTCCGCACGAGCTTGGGCGCGGTGATGGTCAGCGCTCAACTCGGCGATGTTGGCCCGAACGAAGCTATTGGGTGAGCCAGATCTTGGCAGTTGCAAGGAGCTAGCATAATGGGAGGCTGTAGGCGAGGGCAAGTTGATGGAATGAGGACGTTGTGAGAGCATTGCACCGGTCACAAGGCTTTGTCGAAGGTTAGGATACGAGGATGACCCTTGCCGGACTGGGTTACGAGTCATCATGGCTGCACCGGTGCTCGGAGGAACCATGCTTGCACAGACTTTCATACAGCTTTCGTTGTGAGAATCAACTATGAAACCCACATCCTGCGTTGCGCATGAAACCAATGGTAGACTAGTATCTCGAGGACGATTCGAACCGTCTGAATTGTATTGAAGACCGTTGTCCGGGCTGATAGCTACATCGCCGGTTGGAGGATCATGCTTGAGATCTTCGTGATGCACCTCATTACGAGAATGGTTCTGGTTCTCGATGGACATTGGACTACGCGGTGGTAGCGAGCCTAGGATGCGCTGCACCTTCGAACAGAGTAGTCCACACCGTAGAAACAGCCTCCAAAGAGCACCCCGAGATAGATTCAGAAGTCTCAACACAGCGAAGAACGCGCTGAGCAAGCGGCGTGGAGGCAACATGAGGGTTCGGGACAAGAGGCGGTGGAAGAGGGTTTCGCGTGTGTAAAGCCGGGCGTGGGTATATGAGGCGCGGCATATTCTGAGCGTCTGCGACTGTGCCTCGTGGCACCTCGATCATCGATAAGCCACACAGGTAAGTGCAGATACCCTCTGGGAGACTCTAGAAGTGCTCTCCTACACAGCCTTCGAGGTGTGGGAGCCATCAGTGCTGCAGAAGGGCCGGCAAGTGCCTGCTCACTGTGAGTTCATCGCGGCGATGCGACATCGGAACGAGCAGACCCTTAGAATCACGCTAATACCGGGATACGGCCCTCATGCAAAGCGTACGTATCAAGAGTACTCAAACATGACTGTCTGAGCGTCCGGAGAGTCAATGGAATTCAAGGTACAGCACAGTTTTTTTTGAATTGAGCTTCTTTTGCAGGCCCAACGACAACGATACAATTTGCGAATGTCCCAATCTTCCACGGATGAGCACCGCCTCTAGATTATCGAGAGCCAAACTTTGATCATACAGTACAGTACTTCCTAAAAGATGCTTTAAGGTAACTATACTGTATCGACTGCGCACATGCATGTCTTGCTCGCCTGACCTGCACTGAGCCCGTGGGGGGTAGAGCTATTAACAAACCGGTTGCTATTGGTTGTGCAATGTCAATGAAGGACAGTCGCCATATGGCACTTCAATGGGGATGACTGGTTGGTGAGCTTTCCTCATTGACGCTGCATACACAACCCGCCAGCGCTACACCTCATTAGCGCGACAAGCTCTTGTCCCGCGCATCCTTTCCGCCAGCGAGCGCAAATGCATGCGGGGTAATCTCCCTGACTTCTCCGATGCAGTATCATGGGACGTTGCATCGCCTCGCCCGAACGAGACGATCTGCCTCACGGTCTGCAGCAGCGGCGTTCGTGGTGGCGCCTCTCGATCCCATGCGGCGGCAGCGCACCAAACGATAAGAGCCGAGACGACTACGGCAACGCCTGCAATAGTGGACTGAGTCGCGATGTCGGTTTTGACGAGAGTGAAGATCATGATGCTGGCCAGGAACGAAAGCATGCTTTGCGTCAGGGTCAGTATCACATCGGAGCGCCACAGCTATGAAAGACACTCACGCCCACATGAGCAGTGCATACGGGAGGCTATACAGAATAGCCAACGGCTCATGGTGAAAGTACGGCCTATCTTGCTGGTCCATGTATGCCGACTACAAGCCGTTAGCCCTCATCACACTCTGTAGAGTTCAAAACCGATCCCACGCACAGCCTCGTCCGCGAAGTCGCGGTTCTTCGTGCGATGTTGGCGCACGAGCATGAGTCCTAGTACGATGCTCCCTGTGCTGCACAAGATCGAGATGTAGCTGGCGATGGCTGCGGGTGAGCGCAATGGCGGTAGATAGTCCTGAATGTTAGTGCCCGCTCCTACCCCACTTGGCTGACCCGGGAAGAGAATTACGTCCGGAACAGAAAGCACTGGAGGGTCTCGGTGAGCCACCTATAGACCGGAAGCCGCGTACTCTGTGGACATACTCGAAACGCTGGCTGTCAGACTGGATATCATCCATAAGTCATAGACGGCAATGCCACGAGGATGATGGCTTACATGATCGTAGCCTATAGAAGAGGGCGTAAGGATGAGGTAGATAGAAGATTACGGGCGGATAGACGACTCACATAGGTGATCAACTCTTGCCATTCGTCTTGTAGCTTGGTGATGTGCCGCTTCCATATATACATCACGATCACGCCGTCGACGTAGAGCTTCTCCATTTCGCTTAGGTGCACCTCCGGTGCAAACAGGAAGAGGCAGGAGAAGACCTTCATGAGCCAAGTGCGGGGCCGTACCGCGGACGCCTGTTGTACACTTTCATGTCTGTTCATCCTCGCGTAGCGTTGTCCATGGAAGTGAATGTAACGCCAGTGACCTTTAACGGATCGAGATTAGTACAAAGTAACGGCGGGACAAGGACGCAACTTACAGAAGACTGACATCATGCGCCCAAGAGCAGCAGCAATTGGGGCCGCTCCCGCGCCGGGTTCTGTGTGGTAGGCGTGAGCTCAAGAGTTAACTTGACACGGACAGGGATAGCGCACCCTTTCTACCTAATAGCCGGATCATGTTCAACAGCTCCTCAAGCGGATAGGGGATAGTTGTCGTGGGAGAGGTTATGTAGTCTAGGCACTGGGTGAACCAGCCGCAAGCAGAAGACGTGGAGATACCAGTCACCAGTGCAGAAGAATGTGAGATCTCCGACGAGTTCTTCGATGAGAGGGTCGTGGGACTTGAAGGTGGTCGGGAAGGAAGATACGTGGTTCCTGTCAGGCTTATGAGGGGACTGACAGACTGAGGCGTTTGTTGGGGTACGAACCAGTACCAGCTCTCGAGTAGATGCTCTATTGAGAACGTCAGCGCAAGCACGGCGCATGGGGGTAAGCTACACGTACTTGAATGTGCAGGGCTGACAGAACCCGATATTTCTCCAAGATATTCGCTCATCGAGAATGGTCGCAACCAGAACAGGCTTCGCGTCTCATGGTGGATGTAGTAGTACTGCCACAGCACACTTCTCTCTCCTGCCCATTCGTCGAAGAGGACCTGAATAACGAGTTCACAGCCCGATGGTAGCGTATCTCCGGAGTGCTCCTTCAATAGCCAATCAAGGTGCTCAACGAGCATCTCTACTTCGTCCAGGTACGCTTGTTGGTATAGGTATGCATCTGTCAAGATACGCTGGACGAGGGCACGTCAGAACATCGATGGACGGGTTACTGGGGAAGTCGTGGACCTTTTCTTCGTGGTAAAAGTAGAGGCAACCTTCGGAATGCGTGACCGGAGCCCAGCCGCGCAGATCAGGGTCATCCCAATCGGGGGAACTGGAGAGGTGATGTTCAGTGGCGAATCGCTATACGGCCGCCTTCACGTACTGTGGAAACTGGAGACACATCCGAGGCAATTCAAGCACAGGAGTAAGGTCTTGGACCAAAGCTTGTCTGATGTAGCGGGGACCTTCAAGGGGGGTAGCTTCCGTAAGCACGCGTCCGGGTGGTAGAGGCCGTGGTGTTGGGCTCGGTGTGATACTACGATCGTACTTCTTGAGTTCGCCTGACCCCTTTGCCGTTGACACCGACGATGGATCATCCTCATACGACGCATAACTCATAGGAGTGGGCGGCCTAGAGGGGATTGGGGATTCAGGTCGGTACGACGACAGGTTGGGTAGAGAGTCCGTGCTCGGTGATTGAATGTTCAACTCCATCGTGCCGGCAGTATCAGCTCGTTGACGAAACCCTTGCCCAATGGGAGGTGTATCAAGCTCGAGATGTATGGCGGGAGGAGGCGAAGTGGATCTATTCTGCGCCACATATCCTTGTACGCGTGATGTCGCTCTGCGAGGAGCTTCGCTTGTGGTCGGTGTAAGTGAGATGTGGCTCCCAGAGAATGAGGGCGGATATTGGAGTATCGGACTCGGCGAACGCGAGTGCGCTCGAGAAGAAGGCCGAGAAGTCGTCGGTTGGCGCGACCTTGAGCGAGAGACAGAACGACCACCCATCGCCGAACGACCTGGAGCACGAGAACGACTGATGCGGCGCTCAGAGCGTGAGTCTGCCTCGATGATCTCGGCACGCCTTTGCGCAAGATCATACATATCTAGCCCAGTGACACTCAGTGTCGCCGATGGCTGCGTTGGTGTCAGGAAGATAGGCATTTCGGCAAGTGGCGACGGTGAATGTATGGACCGAGGCCGAGGTGATAGCATCATGGTTGGTCCTGGTGCGAACGTTGGCCGGATGTTGGGGTAGGATAGAGATCGTTGTCGCACGGGCGGATAGCGTCCGCGACTAGCGCCTGCTACACCGATACTGGGTGGCAATGTGCTTGCGCATACGACATCGGATGTAGGGGGCAGCGTGGACTTCTGTGTGTAAAGGAGAATTGTGGACTCAGTTGTGGCGTCTGTAGGTTGCGAACCTTCGTCCGTATCAGAAGCCGGGACGATTGCGTGAGATGAGTCCCCTGCTGGCGCCTTAGACGCTCTACAGCCAAGGATCTTCCATAAATTCGAGACAGCGCGCCCGAAGCATGTCAAGAGTCTATGAAGGAAGACTTGAGGTACCCTCAGTAGCTGTAGGAGAGCATAGACCGCCTTGAACAGGTGTTTTGAAGCGACAGACGCCATGCAAGTTCGAGGCAAGCGATGGTGTGAGAGAAGACTGGACCAGTCGAGCGTAGATGACAGGCGCAACAGAACATGTCTTTCGCCATGTTCGGAAGGCTTGCCTTGAATTGGCGATACGTAGAGCGCGTGTTCACTCGCAATTGATTGCGAACGGGAAGAAGCTGGATTGCTGTGTACAGCCTCGTTGAAGCCTGTTCGGAGGGAATATTCTCAGGACCGCCTATTCAGAATGACATTGTCAAGAGCAGTACAGACCCTACTACACGACGCTCTGGAAGTATAGCCCGCCGATGCCACCGCTCTCTTAACTTCCTCTCCTGACGTTCGCTCTGGGCTTCCACGATTCCGGCTGCCACTTCTCATCCTTTTGAACCTTCGGTAGATCGGGCCGAGGACCCTTATCCTTGTTCGGCGAATACGCAGGCTCCGGTGTGTTCGCAACACCGCTCTGAACGATCTTCTCCGGTTCGCGTGTCTCCATAGACGCCCCGGGGCCAACCGCATGCGGGGGTGGAACATGTACGTTTTCTACGGTGGACCCTGGGTGTGGTAGTGTCCCGGGGTTATGCGCGGAGGGTGCTGTTCCGGGTGTCATGGCAGTCGCGTGCACAGCTGAATTCGGTATTGAAGGGGGCATATCTGCTTGACTTTGTGCTGAACCTGGCGCGGCAAGCATGTCCATTCTTCTGGCCTCGGCTATACGTGCAGCCTCCGCCGCATCTCGAGCTTCTATCTGCGCCACATTGTGTTGTAGACGTTGTCGGCGGAACATGTCACGTTGTAGTTCCTGAATAGAGGGCGGGTCTGCACGCGTATGTGAGAGCCAGGCTGTCCACTGCACTGTACGGGACGTTAGGTTGTGTACATTCGTAGGCGAATATGGGGATCAACGTACCTGGCAGACTTCGTTGACGACCAATGTATTGCCACATGTCCGTGTACTGCTTGTACTCCACTCGTCGCTTTGTACGCCGGGGATCTAGAAGGAAGCCGCTCAGTACATCGTTCCAAGGTTTCGCACGGCACTATTGTACGAACCATCCGTAGAACTGGGGTACTCAAAAAATCTATTGCCTATTCCCGATGCATGTGTCAATATTCGATAGGCCCACTTGTCGGGTTTCATAGGACTCACAGACCTTCAAGGTCGGTGCCTACGAAGTAACGCTACAAGCATCATGTCAGTCATAGGAGCTACACGGAAACCCATAGAACGTACAGATCTGACAAGGCGCTGCCATGCACGACCAATTATAGACATGCTAAAGTAGTAGTTGCGCGTGTACGAGTTTATGGAGAGAGCCGACGGGCGAGTCGTGATGGTGGTGAGCGGAATGGTCTGACGTCGGCTCGCGCCTGGCCGAGGTGGACGCGCCGCGAGCTCACTGTGACGCGACGCGTTTGACGCGTCCGCGCGCCGAGCCAACCGTCGCGCGACTATTTGCCTGTCCACCTCCGCTCATCGCAAAGCGTACTGTACATCCATGCAGTCGCTCACACAACACCACCCAGATTGGTCTCCGCAGGCAGCGTAAGGCTGGGTGTGCGGAAAGTTCCCCGCAATGATGATTGATCAAATATTTACAGGACCGAAAGCCGGGATACATGGTTGATGATATACGCAGACAAGACATTCAAGCTATACACCCGAGAAGCCTGGATGTTGACCTCCAGTCCAAGCCCTCGTGTGTGTGTGAGGCCGAATCTTCCCGGATAGCCAACTACCGATGCGTGTCAGCGCCAGGTATCTTCGTATCGTCCTTCGTGGTAGTCGTTGAGCTGTCAATATCATCCTGCAGCACTACCGAGTGCGTTGAGGGCGGTCCCAGCTCTACATTATGGCAATTTTCCATGTCCAATTCGAGAGTAAATGTGACTTCAGGCTCCCGCTCCTTGGGCCGTTCTTCGTTGTGCGGCCCACGTGAATGGTGGACGGTGTCGAGGACAACGAGTATGAAGACAACGAATGGATAAACGGACTACAGAATGATGATAAATGGTTCAGTGCGCAATTAATCAGTGAATCTCTTGGCCGCTTACCGTGATCTGAGCCATGGCGGCGTCGAGATGACCTGAAGCTGCAACGACAGGGAAGGGAGGGTTCCCAGCGAAAGTGCCAAATTTCGCACCAAGCGCCACTTGCGACGTGATAGGGCGGAAGAAACTGATACAGTTCAAGACCTAAAGGTCGAATGAGATGTAGCATATCGGCGACCGCAAGCTTGACTGACCCAGATCGCTGTGTACACGATTCCAGAGTCCACGAGGAGCATCATGAAGCGCTCTACCAACGTCCGACGGTTGTCAGAGCGAAGATACCTCGAGTATCGTTGGCTGTGGGACCTGTGATCATATGAGCATCTCGACTCGCGGGAATGAGGTAGGATGCAGCACTCACTAGAACTTGATACCGACTAGAACAGTCGCACTCAAGTTGCTCATCAACGACAAGAACGCCGCAGCGAGACCAACGTAGTTGCCGCCATACGTAGCCATGACCTCTGTGTTGTGGACGTTCTCGTAGTGGTCCTCATTGTAGATAGCGAATCGGCCGCGTGAGTTGATGACAATGTTTGCGAGGTTGAGTCCCACCGTCGTAGCGATCAACGTCGCTCCGAGAGCAAGGACGGGCCGAACTCTATCCCATACGACGAACATCCGCCAAAGAACGATCGAATCACTCATCACCGCCTAGATGTCTCGCGTGAGATACGTCATCGACCAATCACGAGTGCCAGGAGAAGCTACCCACGTTGAAAGAGACGATAGCCAGCAGTGCTACTTCGAGCGCGGCCACACCGAATGGATAGGGATCGCCAACGCGGGCTGCGATACCGGCTACCCAAGCAAAACACCGAATAGAGATCGCCCAGTGTGCAAGAGATAACAGGTACATGAGTGACGCCGTGGCGGGTATGATCAGGGTGAACGACGACCGGCGTCGCGAGCGAAACTGCCTACAGAGACGTCAATATAGGTCCAAGCTTCCCTCTACAGACATGATAACGTACCAGAAGCTTGTGCAAGCTGTGACCGCAAACAAGAACGAGGCAAATCCTGTTCAAGATTAGTCCCTAGCCCATGGTATGGATGTGGAGATCCAGTACGAACCAAAGAATACGCTTTCCGTTACAAGGGGAAACAAGTATTGGCTTGCCGAGGCGTAGTTGTCGTAGGAGACAAGGATGGGAGGTTCCCACCTCTCTGCGGCAACCACTGCATCACCGAACTCTCCGTAGTTGCGTTCTATACCCAGTGCACTGAAGAACACATCAACTCAAGCCGCCATTCCAGATATGTACATGGTGCACACACCGTCCAGAAAGAATCGACTCGAGCTGTCGCAGCGATAACACCCAGTGTGTAGTAAGGGAGACCAAGATAGTCCAGAGCGCCAGAATTGAGGGTACGCATTGGGGTGATGCCGACTTGATCCTGTAGATGGACACTCAGTCCTTATCCTCTCGATGGAACAGAATTGTGACACACCATATCAGGTAAGACCCAAGGGGAACTCCAGCACACAGTATACCTACAAGGAGCAAGTCAGTGTCCACTTCGACTCTCATCAACAGCACCATGACGTACCCCATACAACGCTCTCTAAGAGTAATAGGGGTACGGTGGTAGACGCTGTGAACTTGTAGAGGACAGTCAGAACCTGCATCTCGTGAGTTACTGTCAGATTGGAGAGAGACATGGTTAGGAGGGACGCGTTGGGGCGCGGCGACCGCTACGTGGAGACGCGAGCCATGTCCTCTTTATGAAGACGATTCATACAGATCGAGATCTACGACACTCATTCCATTAGACTAGTGTTCCACGCAGAAAGTCGCACCCGCACCTTCACCATGTATAGCGAATGTTTGCGGGTGCATTCGAAGACGCGTACGCTCCCTTTCAGTCGATATGAAATGTGACCAGAGCTATCGATCTGTTGTACGTGCAGATAGGACTGATCTGATCCAGATCAGAGGTACGCCATCATATTCCCTTTGACCTACCATTTCACGTTGATCAGTGACCTTTTTTGGTTGTGGGCGGGACAGATCGCACTGGTGAAGCGGGAGACAGTGGTAACGCCGGTTCCGAGAGCGGGTACACATATGATTGTGATGCACGGGCGGTTGTGGCGGTTCGAGCGGCTCGAGCGCAGCATCCGTCTGACTCCTGGTTGCGTCCTATGTGACTGCCATGAGCGATGAAGACGTCAGGTCAACCATATAACTGAGTTCCCGTGCCACCTCGTACGGGAATCCAATGTGAAGGCGGGTCAAGCGGGTTCGGAGGGTTGAAGAACTGTCCAACGTCCGTTGGACACGCGTTCACTGCCGGCACTTGCTTCCCAACCAAGTGTCAGTTAATGGGGGAAATGATACAGATTGTTTTCAATGCAAGTTCCACTGTACAGCTGTACCAACAAGAGGATCCGGAGATGAGGGGCGCTCAGAACTCCGGGCCGGGTCCACCGAGCCCATCATCCTCATCAAGTTCGCCCTCCGCGATCTCCTTGACGAGCTCCTTCTCGCGCTCCCTCGCGTCCTCAGCGTCCGCTAGCTCCTTCCTGTGCGCGTTCATCGGGTACCTCATCGCCTGCACACGAGGGTCAGCACTCTAAGTAATGAGACATTCGCATAGAGGGACACATACCTTCACGCTCTCGTTGTGCAACTCCAAACAGTAGCCGATTCGCTTGCTGAACATCTCGCTGACCTCAGGCCCATACGAGCTCTTCAAACCCTGACACTCCATCCATCCCTTCTCATGCAGGATCCTCCCCTCAATAACGCCATCCCTGATTGCCTTGCCAACAATATACTCCGCGTCTTCCTCCGAGTCCAGATGCAGCTTGACGCAGATATCGCGTAGCGAGATGCGGGCATATGAGAGCGATAAGCGGCGGATACCCGTCTTGATGACGTTCTGCCGGAGACGGGCGATCAAGGTGTATGTCTTGTCGGCTTCGAAAGATGAAGCGTGCGCTGCGAGCGTCGACTGGAACTCGGCGAGCGATCCCGTCCTGACAGCTTTGACGATGTCGAAGTACGGCCCTAGCGCCTTCTCGAGGACCGGATGCCTGAACAACCCGCGGTCCGGGATGTCGCCCATAAGCAGCTCGACGACAATGAAGAGCTTATGCACGGCCTGCCAGAATCCAGGCGCGACTCTCGCTTGAGGCGCGCGGCGGATGGCTTGTTGCAAGTTCGTGTGCGCGACGGTGTAGTCGAGCTTTACGGCTTTGATACGGCCGAGGTAGTAGTGGAAGCGGGCGTATTGAGCGTTAGAGGCTGATGGCGGGAATGTCGTTTTGGAAACGAGCTTGTCGGCTTGGTCGTACAAGTTTGAGAGGGTGTAGGAGCGCAAGAGGCGGTTGATCAAGGAAGCTTGAGTCTCGTCGTCGTGACGAAGGGACGCTGTTCGTTGAGCAGCTAGGAAGAGTCTGTACGGTGAAGGGGGTTAGTTCAACTTCAGATCTCTTCAATATCAAACGACTTACGGTCGTGCGGCGTCCAACTCGCCTGCGAGCTCATATGTGCGCTCAACGGCGTACCAGACCTTCGCCGAGATGGGATCCATCGTACGGCGGTTTAGGCGCTGGATGACGGAAATGGTCTCGTTCGCGAGCTCCTTGGCCTTTGCATAGCCGGATTCGCTCTTGAGCAGGTGGTGTATTACCAGTAGGCGCAGGTAGACTTCCACTTCCGGCACGGGATCACTTGTCGGCGGCTTCGATGCTGGTGCAATTGATGGCGCATCAATATCCATCGAGCCTTCTGAGGACGTTGGTATCAATGCAAGCAGTGCGCTCTTCGTAGCAGATTCTACAGTATATTAGTCTATATCTCAAGAATGTCGGAGATGCAATATACCTTTGGGGTAAACTTCTGTGACCGCATCCTTCAATGCCTTGTCATCCAGCCTCTTCCTCAGCGCCGTCAAAGTCCTCAGCACGCGATGGGTGAATCTGGGCTCGAGGGTGGCCACGGCGCGCTCGATGAGGGACGCGTTCGCCTTGATCTCCGCGACGGGCGTCAACGCAGGCGTGACCTCCTTCTTCTCCTCAGCCGTCTCGGTCTTGGACGCGTCGTCCGCCTTCATCTCGACGTCAGGCATGTTTACAGAGTTGTTTGATGGGAATATATGGCGGGAGCGGAAGGTGAAGGGAGAAGGCCAAAGTCACTTGAACGCGCGCGTACGCGTCCTCGACGCGTCACCCTGAGAACACGCGCGACGCGCCAGGAATTCGGCCGCTGATTGGCGCGTCGGTTTCGCCCGAACCACCACCTAGAAATATACGCCCACTGGGTTTTCCCTGCTGATACCGGAAGTGCAGTAGCCCCGCGTCAAGTACTCTACTGCTCACGTAGCTGCAGTCCTACTTCACGTCAATGGCCGGATGTTGAGATGTACGGAAAGTACTCACTTAGGTAACGTCGATGTCTGCGGCCCCGTGCCATGACTCGTTATCCAACTGGGAGAAGTTCAATATGCATGTTGGTCTCTTCCCTTACCTTGAGTTGCGACCAGCATCTCAGTCACAGTTGCATAACTCCTGAGTCGACCAAAATGTCCGGGCGCGCGGGCTCCTCGCTGGGAGATGTCGAACTTGCCACGTTCGTAGCTGCAGGCGTTAGTAGGTTCGATTCTTGAATAGCTGTTACTTCGCATCGAGCTAACTCTGAGGCGCGGATACATAGTCCTCTTGAAGCTTCAGCCGAGAATAAGTCTGTCGAAAGGGTTGAGAGCGCCCGTCCATCACCACCAGAATTATCAAACGAAGTCCCAGATGGCGGATACGGCTGGGTCATCGTGGCCGCATGTAGCGTGATCATGTACGTGCTCCCGTTAAACATGCTGTCTCTTTACTTAAGTGCATTTCAAGGTCTTTCGCCATCGGCCTCACCTATTCATGGGGTGTGATCCAAAACTCGCTCACCCGTCAAAACCTCGCTCCAGACGGCACACTCGCCTTCATCGGATCCACCTCCACCTCTCTCGTGGCTTTCGCAGCTTTCTTGAACGCCCGTATCATCCGATGGATTGGCACAAGGAATGCTGCTCTGGTCTCAGTGGCGTTCCTCGCTTTGGGTCAGATCCTGTCGAGCTTCTCGACGAAGAACGTAGGAGGGTTGTTCGTCACGAACGGCGTTTGCACTGGGTTTGGTGTCAGCTTGGCCTTCATGGTAGGTCTCTCGTGTTGCTCATGACATCCTCGGCAGTCTCTGATAGTTGCGGTAGGCATGCAGCGCTCTTCCAGCGCAATACTTCCTACGCCGGCGCGGTCTCGCTAACGGCTTCGTGTACGCCGGAGGAGGCATAGGTGGCGCGGTCTGGTCAGTCTCTCTCGACAAGATGATAGCAAAGATCGGCATCCCATGGGCTTTCCGGGTTCTCGGACTCATCGCGCTGGCACTCTGCATCCCAGCAGCGATGCTTCTACGCGAGCGCACTCGCCGCGCATCGCCGAGCCTCGAGTTGTACGTTCATCGTCTGACATTCACGAGTGGCCTGAGCTAATCTTCATCACGCCCCTAGACGACTCTTCGCAGATTGGAAATTCGCCCTCCTCTTCCTCGGCTGCGCAATCGGCACATTCCCACTCCTCGTCCCCGCTTTCTTCCTCCCCGGCTACGCCTCAACCCTCGGCGCATCCTCTTTCCTCGCATCACTACTCTTAGCCGTCTTCAATCTTTCATCCGCGGTGGGCCGTATTGGCTTCGGAGTACTCTGCGACCGCATCGGACCAGTCACATCTCTAGCATCGGCTCTGGCGTTGAGCGCTATCAGCATGCTTGCTATCTGGCCGGCAAGCAAGAGTCTGGCGCCATTTGTAGTGTTCGTGGTGCTGAACGGTGCGGGGAACGGAGGGTTCTTTAGTACAGTCCCCAGCGTCGTTGGGCACGTCTACGGTTCGCAGCGTGTGACGAATGCGTTGGCGATGCTCGTTTCTGGTTGGGCTTTCGGGTATCTACTGGTACGTGCTCTCTCTTGGTTGAGATGCCATAGACCTTGCTGACCGCAACGGATAGGGTGCGCCTATTGCTGGGTGGATTCTCGGGGCGTATGGAGGCTCGCAGACGGGGCTAGTGGCGTTTAGACCTGCAATATATTACGCGGGCTCGTTGTCGGTGGCGGCTACCTTGCTTGTTCTAGCTGTACGACAGCTCATCCTCAAAAGTTGGAAGGTCTTCGTGTATGCTTAGCTTACTCATGCACTCTGGGTGTCAATACGGTGTTTAGATACTAGTTAGAGCATGCGCTATGTATCAGCCGAAGACACGGGAAATCAGACGCTGAGGAATCATTATCATTGTACGATATCCAAATGGGAACGAGAAGATAAAGATACAATCTTCGGGGTACACACCCGAGACACGGGATAGAATTGGCCGTCGGCCGACAGCGGTCGAATGCCAAGGCACATCGGCGGAATCGGGCCGGACTCGGCGAGGTGAAGGTTAACGCCGTTCTCCGTCTCGTCCCAGACTTCCATGTCCGACCTGCTTGCTTCTTGATCACATTCCATATTGGCCTCGACACAAGTAGAAGGAAGCGTACAGCCTGCAGAGATGCCTTACTAAGGTGATTGGTGGACGATACGTGCGCGGATATCGCCAGCACACGTGAGACTCTCGGCTATCCCTTCTCACATCCCCTTGCGCCCAAACGGCGATTTGCCAACCTCCAATAGCACTGAGCATGTTCCTGTGCACCGGAAATGGTCCCAACCGCCTGATACTCTATCTCGAACACAATCCTAATGTGGAGCCCGAAATCGTGGTCGACATACTTACGACTACGGAGGCGCTTGTAGTCGGATCTGGGCCTGTGGCGGAGAGGCAGCCGCGAGCCCGACTTCGCGCATTGTAGAGACCCATGGGCAGAAAATTGGGTGGAACTTGTTATAGGAGATCGCGGACAGGGCGAATGCGATGGACTTGGTAGACAGATCCGAATAACCATGGCGTTGGTATCCAGTCAAAATCATATCGGATTCGTTGCAAGCGGAACGCTCCCTTTCCGCTGATACATGCATGAGCTGCGCATCCTTAGTGACGGTCGTAGTCACGGTGAACCGATAGCGGCATATTTTTGGCCGTATGAGGTCGCCCGATATCCTCGGGGTACTGATGACTGACGATCCCGCAGTGAATGCCTTTCAGGAAGAACGACCGCTATGCGTACCGTGCGTGCTTCCACCGCATATGAAAGCCCGAAGTCAACTATCATGTATGTATCTTCGATGTCCCCGTTTGTCTTGAAGACTGCTCATATCAGTTGTTGACAACGTGTAGGTGAACCCGCACATCCTATGATCGGTACGTTCAGAGCGGGACAGGGTGACCATCTTTGACCGCACCAATGCGATCCTCGGGGTGCACAAGGCTGCACCATTCTTTGACCCGCGCCAGAGTTCGAAGCAATCACGCCTGTGTGCGATGAACGCTCAAATCACAAGTACTGTGGTCCTCGTCCTCATTGCCGTCCGGATAGTCAGATCGCGTCGTATCGGAAGGATGAGAATGTGCTCTCGAATACCTCAGTGTGCTCTTCATTGCATCAGGGGCTGCTGCGGACTTCTGTTCGATACTTGCTTCCTAGTGAGGGTTATAGGTTGCGCCACCGAGAGGTCCTTATAGTCGCTGTGCTTCGCATGTGATCACCCGGCAGGACGTCACCCACCTCATTATGTCTCTATCCAATTTGAACGCCACAACAGAACTCCAGGTTCTGGAGGTGTTCCTGAAATCTACTACATCCTCCGTCATACCGCTACTGCTCTTGGAGAGCGTTATAATGGGTACGCTGCTTCACAGTCGACTGAACAGGTGTTATAAGCGTCTTCCGCAGGTGTACTGTGTGCGATCGTTCCTCTCGGGTCGTACATGTTGTGGTGAGATAGTTCTATCGAGTTGACATGTCACGAGATAACATGTAGAGACAGGATCAGATCAGTGGCCGTGCCTCGCGGACCATCCATATCCATGCTCTGGCTTATCTTGGCTTCCTTGATTACGCACTGGGCTCTATCGTTGCGGCAAATCGAGTCGACCTTGTCTGGGCGGTGCGCATGCTTCTAACCCACGCGCACACTATTACTGAACGCAACTTCAGGACCTTGGGCCTCTCACGAACTTTCTATGGCTTCATTGATGCCGTCTCTGTCGAGCAAGGGGACCCTGATTTCGTTCAGTCGTACTACGACTATGCCTCCGATTTCCAATATCTCCTTCCCCTTGTGACAGAAAGCGTGCTCTTCGGTCTGTCCATAACTTATGCATGTCTACCAGGACGCTGACTGTCAACAGGATTTGGCTCGTTCTTGTTCGCGGTCACAGCTTACACGAGCTTCCGGTATGTTGCCAAGTCTACACTCCATATTTACGGCTGGACTGATGTATATACAGGCAGGTTCATCTACAAAGCAGTTCGGTCTTCACACTAGCCATTCCTGCCCTGGCTTCATTGATGTATCTTCTATCGCTGTCGCACTGGGCTGTTTCTATCCGATGTTTCACTTGGGTGGCCAGCGTCTCAGCTCGGACTGGAGACTCATGGCCCACGAGCATTGATACTCTTGGAGTGGTCCTCCTGGCAATTCTCTCCTTTAATGTTCGTGGCCTATTATTTGACCTGATAACTGACGATAGAGCAGTCGTTCACCATGTAGGCGGTGTTAAGCGACTCTATCGTTCTTTGGCGGATGTCGATTGTCTGGGAGAGATCGCGCCCAGTCGTTATCCTTGCGGCAGCGTTAATCACCACGACGTTAGGGCTCAACATCACGAACCTGATCAGGAACTCCCGCAACCGCGATGTGGTCTATAATGGTCAGATATACGACAACGTTCATGACACTGAGGTCGTGTCGACATATGGCGGTGACAGCGTTGGTCTTGCTGCAGCGTTCTTGTCGTTGGCTAGCAACTTGTGCGCGACCATACTAGTCGGTGTCAGAGTCTGGTGAGCGACATAAGCGCAATTACTTATGTATGAGACGGTGCGCTCACGGACGCACAGGTTGCACAAACGACGTAACTCTAAGCACCTCCACTCTGACAACCGTCGGACGTTGGTGGAACGCTTTCTTGTGTTGCTTACGGACTCCGGAGTCGTGTACACGGTTTTATGGGTGCGGTGGATGCGCTTTGTGATTGTTGAAATACTCATTTCATATCACAGATCCTGTACTGCATAAGCTTCTTTCATCCGATAACATCGCAAGTCGTGCTCGGCGCCAAATCGCAGGACAAGTTTCCCCTCGTGACGGCTTCAGGCTATCTTGACGCGGCCATGGCTCAGCTGACGGTGAGTCGCGGTCATGTGTGACTGCATCCTGATTCGCTCACTTGGCGTCGTGTAGTCGATCTATCCCTTTGCCGTGTTCATACTCGTCGCCCTTGATAAAGTACATCACTCGCGTGTGGTACGGCCCCAGATCTTGCGCAACAACGACTGGCCCAAGGAGAGAACTCCCGCCGTCACTGTCACCCTCGAGGTCGAAATCGAACGTGGCTCGACCCTTGGCCATACAGTGGCTCTCCCGGACACCGGCAGCTCTACCACCGCAGTGGAATCGGACACAAAGGTCGCCAGCGCTGAGACGCCATAAGTAGTCGACCTGCTAGTCGATGTTGGTCGTTCATTTTCCACGTGTACTTGAACGCACTGTTCAGACGCATTATTGGAATACGTATCGAGCTTAGATTTATAGACGATCTTTTCCTCTTTACCGTCCTTCCATGCAGTAGCCTCGTTCACATCGTCATCACCTGTTAGACTTGCTCTCTGGCTAGACACATTCGTACTCGACGTCGATATGTAGAGCGCACGCGGCCAAGAGACAGAGTGCAGCGCGGACAGACAACAATGTCCCTGGGAGTGGCAAGAGATATGCTGCCATACGGGTTGGATGAGCGTCAACGACAAGGTTTGCGCTGGCTGAGAACGGACGCGCCACCGCTACCGGCCGCTGCCGTCAGCCATGCGCGGATGCGAAGGTTGCGAGCGAGCCACCATCATCCGTTGACAGTATACGGTATACATACGATCCGCGCCTTGTGGTTCTGTACACATGTACCCAGAATGTCCCTCCTCGTTACAAGCCCGTAGCCATCCGCGGTATGGTGCAATTGCATGGTGCAATGACCAGATGATCTGCGGAAGGCGGCGGCGCGTAGGTAACGGCGCCGACGGCCTCCCGCCTCCGGTACACCTTGACTCCGAGTCTTGGATGCGCTATCAGATTGAGAGGGTCGCGCGGTGCTATCTCTGCCACCTCTGAGGCTTCCTCTTCAACAACAATGAACGCACACGCAAGTTCGTCCGTAGGAGACGTGGAACTAGCTACGATCTCGAGCTTCAGGACACAGTACGTTCCGCAGACGAGCTCTTCGTTTTCTCATCCAGTCTCACGTATATCATGCAGTACGCTCGGAGCGACTCCGGACAACAAGTCTGTCGCCTCTATTAACGAAAGGCCATTGGAGAGTGCTCGTTCAGCAAGTCCACAAGCACCAGCACCTCAAGAGCAGTCAAATGAAGTCCCGGACGGTGGATACGGATGGGTCATTGTTGCAGCATGCAGTGTGATCATGTACGTGCTACCAAGCTCGACACGACTCCACCTCTCAACGACAGTCAAATGTACAGGTCGTTCGCCGTCGGGATTACCTACTCCTGGGGTGTCATCCAGAACTCTCTCACGCAACAAAACCTCGCCCCAGACGGCACCCTCGCGTTCATCGGATCCACATCCACTTCATTCATTGCGTTTGCGGCCTTCCTGAATACACGTATCATCCGATGGGTCGGGACACGGAACGCCGGTCTGATCTCTATCGCATTGCTCGCGCTCGGACAGATCTTGTCCAGCTTTTCGACGAAGAGCGTTGGTGGCCTGTTCGTCACAAATGGGATCTGCACTGGTTTTGGTACAGGGTTGGGATTCATGGTGAGCTTCTAGAGATACCCTCCCCGCTAAGTGGTATCTGATCTCCGATCAGACAGCGAGCGCTCTTCCTGCGCAGTACTTCTTGCGCCGGCGCGGTCTCGCAAACGGCTTCGTGTATGCCGGAGGTGGAATCGGCGGCGCAGTTTGGTCGCTTTTCCTGGACAAGATGATTGCGAAGGTCGGGATAGCATGGGCGTTCCGTGCGCTTGGGTTCATCGTACTTGGGCTTGGTGCTCCAGCCGCGATGCTCCTGCGTGAGCGCACGCGCCGTGCTTCGCCTAATCTCGAGCTGTAAGCGGTCCTGTCGCTCTGCGCCACTCACATACTGATGCAAGATACATGCAGTCGTCTATTCGCAGACTGGAAGTTCGCGTTGCTCTTCCTCGGTTGTGCAATCGGCACATTCCCTCTACTCGTCCCGGCCTTCTTCTTGCCCGGCTACGCCAGCACGCTCGGCACGTCGACATTCCTTGCCTCTCTACTCCTCGCAGTATTCAATCTCTCCTCTGCCGTCGGGCGTATCGGCTTCGGCATGCTGTGCGACCGCATAGGCCCGATCACTTCGCTTGTCGCCGCACTGGCTTGTACCGCCGTCAGTATGCTCGCTATCTGGCCAGCGAGCAAGAGTCTGGCACCGTTCGTGGTGTTCGTTGTACTCAACGGAGCCGGAAATGGAGGCTTTTTCTCGACGGTGCCTAGCGTTGTCGGGCATGTATATGGATCACAGCGTGTGGCGAACGCTCTGGCGATGCTGGTTTCTGGATGGGCGTTCGGGTATCTTCTGGTCAGTCATCAGCCGCGTCCACGTGCAAACGAGACACTGACGATAATGAATAGGGTGCTCCGATTGCTGGTTGGATCCTCAGCGCGTATGGTGGCTCTCAGGCTGGGCTGGTCGCTTTCCGACCCGCGATCTATTATGCGGGTTCACTATCCGTGGCGGCCACTTTACTCGTACTCGCGGTCCGCCAGCTCGTTCTCAAGAATTGGAAGGTGTTTGTCTTCGCATAATCTGCTAGTGACAACATCACTCCACCCAGACCGCCAACTATCTTGTACACTTGCTAGATGTACGTTACCTAGTCCCCGGGCATATCCGGCGTTACGATGGTGCCATATGATACATACTAAGATGAAGCTCCCGTGATGTAATCGGTCGTTCGGGCAATGTTTGTGAGGAGGCAACATTACTTAGGCGTCTCCTCTCAGCTGCACATGGGAGCGGAAGCAAAACCGGACTCTTTAGCTCAGTGGTAGAGCATGGGATTGCAGCGATTGCTCGAGGTGCCACCCTAGTGACGGCTGTGGCACCGCCCGCAACCGATACCCATCCCAGGGCCGCGTGTTCGAACCACGCAAGGGTCTTGTTCCATTTTATGCACCCGTATACGTTTATCATGCATGCCAACTGAATATCATAACAAACTTGAGCACAAAGGTAGCACATCCCGCCCATGGGACTACACCGCGATGATACCGCTTTTGTGACACCGTTCCTCCGCCTTCTCAACTACTGACGCGTCGCCGCACGCTATACTTCTAGTCTTGCTGTCGTCGTCCTGGCGTGAGCTATTGAGTTTATATGCAATAGTATTGGGATGCGCGCTGGGGAAAAGTGAGCCACCATGTCTCTTGTTCCGTCAACTGGAGATGTGCGTACTCGAGCGTAGCGTTTAGAGTCACCTCTTGTGTCTGCGTACCAAACCGAATTGTGCTGAGTACCGACCGCGTGCGGACGCTGCGTTGAGGAATAGTACACCCGAACCATTCGCACCCGACGCAGATGGTGCGCCTGTACGACGCCCTTGCCTCTGTAGTTAGACCGAAGAGACCGAAGATGACGAAGGCGAGTATGGGTGGGACCCAATAAGTGAAATATGTTTGTGCTAGCGCAACTGTCACGGTATCCCGCACCTCCGCGTACGAGAAGCCCTCCGGAGCGAAGTCGGCGTGAGTTGTGACCCAGCCGTAATAGAAAGGTATAGGTCCACCGGCCAGCTCCGGAAGTATGAACAGCACGAGGGATACGATGCCTATGGGCAACGTGAAGAGGACATCCACACTCGCAAGAGTTAGGATGCGTAAGTAGCTTGTCCGCGACACCGTGGAGTCCGATGAGTCGCTAGTGAAGATAGAGCGTTCAGATCCGAGTCTAGTCTGTCGATAGAAGAACCGAGCGACCCTCGCTGTATTGATACAATCAGTATCCCAGGTGATTGCATGTTTGAAACGGGTTGACGCACGATAGTAGAAAATGATGGAAAGAAGAGGAGGGAGCACGCCCCATATTTGGATGAAAAGGATAGTAAGCACAGTATCCGACTGCGCATTCGTACATCCAAAGCCTTCAAGTACTTGGAAACGGTAACCTTCCACGATGTAATCTGAGATTAAATGTCAGTTACCACACCAAGACCGTCCGGAATACAGGTGCGAAGACTCACAGAGGGGACCAGCTACCAGTAAGGGGATTGCCAGCCCCAGCGTCCATTCTATGGCTGTATCCCAGCGTCTCTTCAGTGTCCTCTATGATCAGCGTCCATCTCTCTTGTGCGATGAGCTTCACGCACGTACAGCTGCTTTGCTGGGAAGGTCCACGGACTCGTTACTGGCGATCAGATACAGGCGCCGTATGATAATGAGTGTCGACATGGGTTTGACAACATAAGCAATGAGCTCCAAACGTGAATCTATATACGGCATCAGTTCGTTATTCGGTGCCACAGCAGGCTGACTCGCAAATGTCGCAGTACACGCGCAACTTGATGTCAAAGTTGTCCGACCAAATGACGGCGTTGACACCTCCAAGCAGGTTCTCCCAGAATAACCAGAAGCACAGTGAAGCTATCCCAAAGTTCCAGCGTTGTCGAACGAAACTCGTGAAAAGGACAAGACATAGCGCAGTGGCTGCGAGGATGCTTGCTACTGGATACAGAGGGTAGGTTGGGTCGGCCGCCATGTGGAGGGTGACACGTCTCGCTCAGGGTATATCCTTCTTATGTGTTCTACAAGATCAGCGTAAGTGAGATTTTGTTCCGCATATCTTCTGCCCGGTGCTGATAGATGAGAGGTTATGGTAAAAGCCCCGTTGGAGTCAGGGCAGATGGTTGTGTTGGAGAGTCTTCTGAGGATGCAGACATCCCTTGCAGGGCATCTCTATGGTTCAGCAATGCGCGCGATGGGGTTAGCGTGTGCACACGATGGGTGAAACAGGGCATTGAGCGAGCAGTCAGACCCACGCTCCTGAGTTATCAGGCGCATGATCGAGGAGGGCGCTCATACTGGCACAGGTCGGATTGCCCCCGGCCAGCCGCAAGTTATAGATAAGAAATGCCCCCACAGGCCGTAGTGTATCGCGGCATCTGATACGGAGGGACAGCTTGTAGCAGCATCGCTTGAAGTATTGAATTTGTACTGCATTCACAGAGCGGGCCGAGCGCGGGATATGGTGGAAGGAGGCAAGACGCGGCACTGCTGGACAGACCTTTGAAGCTGCCGCCGGGGATTCCCGACGTGTTGTTTTTCCTTGGTTTTGCCGCGGCCGCGGCCGCGCCGGTCGTCTTTGCGGCTTACCGCCTTATACCCCACCAGGAGTGTTGCCACCTCCGACGCTTTAGTTCGCGGGTAGCAACGCGGCGTGTAAGGCATCACACCTCTCGGAGGCGTCATCAGCGTTTCTTACGGGAAGAGAGCCACCCGGAGGCGGCGGCAGGCTGCCAGCGAATCAAGAAACCCGAGCGTGGAACCTCTCTGGGGTCAATGCTGCGTTCACCGCGCGTGTCCTATCAACACCAAGTCAAGAGCCCAGTTAACTATAAGTGAAATATATACAAAGCGCCCAGAACAGGAAGCGATCAGTGAAGGTGCCTAAGATGACCAGTGGTATCCCCATCCGTCTACTCTCTTCCCAAAGTCGAGCTGAAAATGTGGTCTAGTACTGGGTTAGCGCAGCCGGTGCGATGAAGGGGTGTGCTTCCGTGTTGAATACGTCTATGCTTATAGGTTAGCTCAAGTACACGAGTGAGTGCAGACCAGATGCATACATTCGTCAAGCGAGATATGCGACGGGTCGTCGAAAGTGAGGTACAAGTATTTCAGGACCTCCGCGAACCAGAAGCTCTCAGTCTCGTCGTAGCGAGAACTGTTGGCTTGATTGACATTGCTGATGTCCGTGTAGCCGCCGTTGTCGAGCTTGAGGTACTTGTTGAAGCTCGCGACGGCCGATGCGGCGCGGTCGAGGTACTTCTGGTCACCAGTGACGCGGTACGCGTAGAAGTTGCTCTCAAGTACCTCTGCCGGATTGATCAGCAAGAGTCCGGATGTTCGCGACAGATACTGGCGTACCGGGCCTCTCAATGTAGTCAGCGTCGGTGATGTAGAAGCCGTGCTCGTTATAGAAGTTGAGTTGATCGGCAGAGATGGACGAGCCGGTGTAGTTTCCATCCGTGCCTACGAAGGCAAAGACCTCGGGGCCGATGCCGGTGAGTGTGCTGTTGTAGGTATTCCAGCAGGCTATCGCAGTATTGAGTACGGGCGTCACAATAACCGAGTCGTATGACACGTACCCTCGTTCATCTCGAGCGCGACCTCAACGATAGTATCGTTGTTGAGAAGCTTCCCACCAAGCAACCAATTCCCAGCATGGAAGCACTCGAGATGCGAGCTGACATACACGTTCCGGCTGCCATCGTAGTCCGTGATGTAGGTGTAGTTGCCAATAGTGCTCTTCTTCTTTAGGGAATGGATACTCGAGTCGACGGCGAGCTTCCATGCGTTGACATACGTCTCATCGGCGTTGTTCGTCAAGCGCGCGTACTTGATGAGGTACTCGAAGTAGCTGTCTGATCCTCCACCCCATGTCTACTGATCGTGAGAATTGGTCGCCACAAGGTACAGGACGAATACGTACGACGTAGTCACAGGCGAAGGAGCCTGTACCGGGCTCGATGCACTGCCCGGGAAGACCGGGGAGCGGCGTATTGGGGTACGTAGCGAGATACTTCGCGGCATTCTCCGCGAGCTGCACATCGAAGGATCAACATCGATTGAAAGCGTGAGACGGGACAAGTACATACCTGGCGATACGTGTTGTTTCCGGTGTACAAGCTCAACCGGTCATACTCGAGCGTCAAGGTGCCAACCTCGGCAATGTTGGACGTCGATTGGATCCCGGTGTTCGTCGTGAAGTTGAGATGTCCATATGGCACCGTGATGTTGTTCGCGAACGCGATGTCGACCATGCGGCTCGTTAGCTGCTCAGCCTTGTCGATAAGGTTCTTGTTTTGCTTCCCGGACAGCTCGTACGCGCTGATGAGCCCAGCAACATAACGGATCGTGCTCTCGAAGACGGAGACGTCGTCCTGTGGTGCCGCGTTCACGCTGAAGTCGATCTTCTCTGCGAATGAGACCGCATCGTTGAACAGATCTGTTAGACCCATGATGTACTACACGTATGCAGTCAGCAGAAGCCGCGTCAACGATGACAGGAGGCACACCATAGTAGTCATTCCGTCGATGATAGACGCGCCCCAGCCGTTGCGAGGGTCAAGGAAGCCCTTGCTGATGGGCGCGACCTCGTCGTGACCGTACGCGTATTCCCTGCGCACACACGGAGTCAGCCCAGCTTTCTGACGCGCGCATCTCTCGCAGCGCTGCAGCGAACACGCACTTGTACGCATTGTAGGATGAAGTGAAGATGTCGACAACGGCCTGCTTGTTCGCAGCAGCCGATGATGGCAATGTCAAGTTCGCCGCTTGCACAGCCCCAGCAAGCGCGCCGGAAGGCGCCAGCGCCAAAGCCGCCAAAGCGAGTGTTCGAGGGCGCGGTGCCATGTCGGGGTTAGGATGGGTGTATAGAGGGTGCTCGGCGCGACGGGCGACGCTTGTCAAGCGATGTCGCCGTCAACTGCTTTATACGACCCCGTCAAATGGCGGCCAAGAACGGTTCCGGAGATAGGTCGTGCATCTATTGATCCACATGCATCGCTTGCCTACGGTTTATTCCAGACGATGTTGTGGAGCGCGCGAGCACGCTGTTCGGACATCAAGGTGAACATCAGAGCAGAGATGCGTGGTATGCGAGTAATGTTCCTTGTGCTCAGGCATCCTTTTTGGTCTTCTTTATTCAGACACGTATGGCGCGCCCACGCCACGAATATGCAGGACAACCGCTCCGTTGAGCCCTAATCAATGCGCCTGTAGGCGTGAGCGCTATGGTGGGGTTGAACATCGTCGCGACCGGAGCTAATGAGATGAATGACCCACCGCCCTAAGCAATATACAAAGATCAGCGCATAGCTGCAACCGCCGCCCGTCACGTAGCCCGGTGACCGCCCGCCCATCTGTGCTCGACTGGTCCTTTCACACATCCATGCAGCTAGCATACCTGACCTGTAAAGCACCGCATGGGCGCAACATAACCATCATCACATGACGGAAAACGCCCAAAGCGCCGTCAAAAGCTGCACAGATGGGATACAATAGACGCTCAAGAATCCAAATATGCTACAAAGCGACAAGATACAGAAAAAGGGTGCCCGCGTGGGTAGTATGTGTATGAGGTTACAAGATGTGGAGACCAGACGTTCCGCTAATGATGGTCGGGACCAAGGAGCAGGTTACGCCACGGGAGGGACGCTGCCGGCGGCACGCTCGGGTGCACGGAAGAAGTCCTCGTCGCCCAAAATCTGGAAGCCGTGCCTATATGGACACGAGGGTCAGCTTCGCCATCCGAGTACAACAGAACGAGAAGACTTGACAACGTACCGAGCTTTCATGTGGCACACGACGCCATCGATCATGAGCGGCTTGTTGCCACCCTTCGACAGGCGCGCCGGACTACTGACACCGTCTTCAGTGGGTTCGGTTGTGTGGCAGTGGCGGCATAAGAACGTCCTTCCGCGGCGTTGTGACTTGAGCTTCCCAACGGCCTTGCTCTTCACGCCGTCCTCGGGCCCAACTTGCTTGTAGAAGTACTTGAGCTTTGCGCCACGCTCGTACGGTGCATCGGATAAGATGACGGCGGCGGCTTCGGGGCTCAGCAGTTCGATCTCCATGTTCTCATGGCGTTGGGCGTGCCCGGAGAGGCGAGAGAATGGCATGACGATGCGGCCGGGACAAGACTTGCAGAGGAAACGGACGCCGAGCGCGTTGAGCTTCTCGGCCGCACCCGCGATGTTGAGCTCCACACCGACTAGCCGAGCGGCGTTCTCGATGACCGCTTTACCCTACAAGACAAGTCAGCCAGGGATTCCCATACAGCGATAGTTGGCCCTCTCACCTTGAGGTCCGCCACAAAGTTGGCAGCAGAGAAGACGTGGGTCTTGAGCTCGCGTTTACCCAAGTTGGCGCACTGGTGGTTGCATGCCGACACGAAGTCGAACGAGCCGGCTTCCTCGAGTTTCATCGGTACATGGCCGCAGAGCGTGCAGTGGAAGCGCGCATTGATGCGATCAGCAGGACTCAGAATGTCGGGGTTGGGGTCGCGCCACTTCTCGTACCCCAGGAGTTGTTGGAACCCGGCGTGCTGCTTCTTGATCCACGCGTTGAGGTCACTCTGTAGCATGGAGTTTGGCAGGACGCCGTCCGACTTGAGGTCGTTGAGGACGGTTTTGGCGTCCTTATCCTGGAGGTGGGCGATGAACGGGAGGCGCCGGAAGTCGGCGAGCGGAGGTAGAATGTGGATAGCCTTGTTATCCGACTTGAGAATCTGGTAGTACTTGTCGATGTCGGCGCGACGTTGCTGGCGTGCATGCTCTGTTTTGGCGTTGTCTCGCTTGAGTGCCGTGACGTTAATCTCAGTTTTGAGAGGTTCTTCTATGTGCTCAAGGTCTACGAGGATTGTCGGTGAACTGGGTCTGTTGAGTCGAGTGACCATGACTGACCTGATTGCCTTATCCTGGTAAGGCATCGGTTTGCCGTAGTCAACATCGCCTTGATTGTCGGCGTGTTCATGACCTGACCGACATCCCACTTCTTACTCTCCGAGAATCGCTGAATTCTACGAATGTGTGAGCGTCCACCCCTGCGAAACGGATAATGAGTCTCACAACTGGACATTCCTCGATTTGACGGTTTGGTACTGCTGTTCGTAGTGGGCACGGTATGCGCCAAGTTTCGCATAGTGCTAGAAGAAGCATCAGTTGCGATACTTCGAGAGATACATGAAGATGCCTCTACCTCCTGCCTTCGTGCAGTCGCCATAACTTCCGGGTCCTGGTCCTAGCAAGCACGTTCGAACATCGTAGAAAGCCCGAAGCATCAGGACACGTACTATCTCAGCAGGAGTTGATGGGTCGCCCGCACGCACGGCGCTGTTGTGCTGATTGACAACGTCTTGGTAGTTGGACTTGCGGTCTGGAAACTGTTACAACGTTGCAAAACTTGGTACGGCATGATACGCACAATAGCGGAAAGTGTTGGAATGCATGATATATGATCTTTGGCCTGTTGCCTCAGGGTAAGCATGCGCGCATATCTGATGACAAGCCGAGTGTACCAAAGGCCTTGAGATCTTCGACGTAAGCCAGTTTCCGACGGGTCTCCAACGCAAGAGCCTTGCTGGTATTTCCATGCGACCGAGGAAGGATGAGCTTATGATTGAAGAACTGTCTGCGGCAGATGCTCTGTAGCAAGTCAATATCGACGCGTGAGAACGATATGGAAAGAAGCGTACATTACCGCAGAGACGAGCCTCCACGGCGTACGAGACGAGCATCCTCTTGGTGTAATGACCGCATTGCTGTACCGCACGTGAGAGTTTAGAAAACATGGATCTGATAAAACACAAACCTCGCATAGGCCACCGTCGAACATCAAGGCGGCGTGTGCAGGCTCGCTCCAGCCGGCCGGTGGTTCGGGGACCTCGCCGGCGACGCACTTCTTGCGCGCGTTGACCCAGATGTGAGCGTTGCCTTTGTTGAGCATAGTATTGCACAGGTATCGGCTTGCACGTGTGATGTTGAGTAAATCGTTGGGAGTAGGCATGTAGCTCAGAACTTCGGAGAGCAGCTCGACCGGGAGGCTCTCCAGCAACGAGCGTGGCGGTGGTAGCGGTGGCGCCGAATTCTCAAGTTCGAGGGCCTTGAGTGTAGTCGAGACACTGGGATCTATACGCGTGCGCTTTCTGGGCGATGAGGTATCCATGACTGGAGGTGGCGAGGGCGGGAGGCGGAGTGGCAGCGATTGAACACGGTGGTCGGGAACAAGGACGCGATTGATTGCCGCGCAGCGGCAAACCTGGCCGCCGTGACAGGCCTTGCTCGCGAACCACCATGTCCTCGTTCTTGTATTGTCATCTTCTTTGTCTCTGTACTTTCAATGCAGTGCTATATATGAATGCTTATACAAGCCATATACACCGCAGACGTCGGAACCTGAGCGTCTCCGCGGGATCATACACTTTGCCAGTAGACCGTTCAGAATCTAGTCTCCCTAGTAGACTCTCTGACTGTGGAAGACGCTACCGGGTGCTATCAGTCTGCTCCCGGAGCCAAGAGCACATGTGTCTTGAGTCGCCCGCCGCAACCTGTCGCGACTAAGACCCTTCGAGCGTCGAGATCTACGGATACTCGATCTATGAGACATCCATATAGATACACGAGCGAGCTCGACCCAGAGGCTCCGAGTCCCCGCACATTGGGCTTCGCCCCTCGCGTAGAGTGTGCATGATGTCGCCGAAGGTGCCACCCAAGGTGCAGGCCGTCGACCTCATTTGTGAGCCGCTTGTCGACTCTGCCATCCCAACTGCTGACGTCCTCAGACACGCTACCGCCTGCTGTGGAGAATATACGTGGACGATGGATGACCACTCTGCAAAGCGCGGGTGCAGTGGTGCGTGTAACATGTGTCACGAATATATCATTAATATTCACCGACATCCTCAGTCTGGCTTCTTATCCGCCGTTGAAGCACAGCTCCTCGTCTTCTACAAGGTCGCATCCAACTTCAATACCGCCACGGGTCGCGTCGAGGGCTCTCAATCACCCACACAAGACGCGTGTCTCATCCTCACCTACGTCGCCCTCATCGCCAGCGTTAGCGGGACGATGAGCTCCATGCTGCTCGTCGATGAGTTCGCTGTCGTCTCTGCGCGCGCGGCGCGTGCTGGACCCGTGATGGAAGAGAAGGACACCCACGCCGGTCGCTTTGTCGGGAACGACTGGCAAGTCCTCGCAGCATTCGGTTTCAGGCGTTCTGCGTCGCGACTCGTCACCATACACCGTGAGCCTTTGATCTTGAATCCTCCTATCTCGAGCCGTCATCTGATCAACGTGCTCCAGTGATTGTCTCCTTGACATTGACTTGCATATGTACAATAGCCGCGGCGGCTACCTATGCCGGCACGCAGGAGGCGACATTGACGCGGATAATAGTCTCCATAACAGCCGGGCTGTCCGTCCTTCCGCTCGTATTCTTCGTTCTCTTCCGGTAATCGCACGAGTCGTGTCACACCAATCATCCATTTATCATTGCGTCCATTATGGCTTTACTATATCATCTAATTCTGCGCATGCATGATATAATACGGGGTACTTGAGAGCGTGGAATACAAGAGGCCCCGAATCAACCCACCCGTGTACAGCCCGGGCCGAACTTTTCTTTGAAGAGGGCCTCCTGATCAGGCAGAAAAAGGCATCCTACGAACTTCACGTCTACAACATGTTCGGTCTCTTGGCACCACCCGTACAACGCATCTGCCAATCGTCGCGCGAAGTCCTCAGGTACTGGGCAGCCATAGTACAGCGTACCAGGCCACCTGACGAAGTCGAATCCTCTAATGACGATCTCCTCTCGCTGAGGAAAGATCTCGTCCATGAAGGAGTCGTGCTCGCGGAGCGCAGCTTCCAGTATGACGGGCGCGGCGCCTTTAAGACGTAGGCGCTCGACGTGCTTGAAGCAAAGCAGGTCCCTCATGGTGAATCCCTCCATATTTCCTTCGAGTGTCAAAGACGATGTATTCGCAAAGACGGGGATGGTCGCGTACATGGCGCCCGCTGCTGCACGAAGCTGAGGAAAGTCGTTGAGGTAAAACGGAATGCCGAGAAGCAATCGCATCGCGGAAATCCTGGCTGAACCGATGACAACGGAGGGATAACATATGTCTTCTTCGATATCTTTTGCGAAATGTGCGCGCACGGCAGTAGAGGCGCGGGCGATGAGAGATCCCAGCTCGTCCTCGGTGTAGCGATCCAGGGGAGACTCGCCATCACTTGGAATCAAGGTGAGGTGGGCATCCGGAGAGAAGGCGATGTAGCTGAACATGATCAATCCCGCGTCAAACGAGGCTTCAACGTTGAATTCATCGAGGTCGGGCAATGAGACGCAACGCAACGAGTGGGTGCGCGAGGGTTGTGTAGAGAAGCCGTGGTCGTCATTGCCGGGATAGACGAATTCGAATGATTCCAGTTGAGGAACAAGCCGGAAGAACTGGATCATATCGTCTGCTCCTGACCATATACAGGAGCTGTTGAGGTACAGTCTCGTGAGCGACGGTGCAGAGATTGCGTGGGGAGGCCTGAGAAGGCATCCGTCGAGATCGACGTTGCGCAGGTTTGGCGGGGGCTTGTCATTGAAGATCCCCGGTAAGGATATGGGCTGATAGGGATCCCAGCCGTCCTGATCGAGCGTTATCCTGAGCTCCTCCAGTAGAGGAGTCTCGTGAGTTGCTAGTCCTCGTAGTACCCATGCCATATCTCGCCTTCCCTCCTTATAACGATCCATTTCCCCGTATATGGTGACCGTAGTTGCGCGTTGTATCGCAGAGAACGCCAATGTCTGCATATCGCGTAGTCCTGGAAGGGGACGCCAGACGTCAAAGCGAAGTTCTACCGGGCAGGAATGCGCGCGCTCGATACAGGTCCTGGTCCAGTGCTGGTTGCTGCGTGGGAACGATGCCCATAGTTGCTGACAGGAGATAGCCACAGTCCTCCAGCGTCGACAGACGTAGGATAGAAACGCGCATGCGGGAGGCCCGCGGAGATGATTGTGCGTGTCGTTGGCGCCGGTCATATCGTGCACACGTAGGAAGATGTCGATCAACAGTTCAGTAGGTAGGCGATGTATCCATGTTGATTTTTCCGCGACTTCCATCTCGCATGAATGTATCCCTAGTGCGTCAGGGACTTTCCCTGGGAACGCCCAGGAACGTGCGAGCGGCAGCGATCGACGTGTTGGTCGTGGTGGAAGGATGCTCAGCGTCTCCAGGTCACGGTCACCTGGCTTTAGGGTTAGGGTCGTCGCGTCAAAGGGCGGTGGCACGTCCCCGCTTGTCCTTGGACCAAGCCACCATCATCTTCGAAGGCCGCGAGTGCGGCTCTACCATCATACAAATTACCCCCTCCACTCGCTTATGTCCTTCGACCTGGCTTCCTCTAGTGCCTCTGCACAGATCAATCGACTACCAAACGAGCTTCTCGCCGAGATCTTTGTGCGCACGCATGATATACTGTCCTTCTATGGGGATAATCCCACCTACGAGGGAGCGGCTTTGTGCGCTTTTCTTTCTCACGTATGCCGGCGCTGGAGAAGCGTAGCCATCTCGTGCCAGTATCTTTGGGCTTCTCTCCCCTGCAAGACTGAAAAGTGGACGAAAGCCTGCCTGGCGCGTGCGCATTCGGGCCCGGTGGCGTTGCAATTCTATACGCTCCCGGAAGACGACTTCATGGCCTCGCTTTCTCGCGAGACTTGTAATCACTTATTCGATACGATTCCGCGTGCCATCTCTCTAGACGCTTGGCTCCAACTCGGAGAGGCTGTGCCTGCGGGCATACTAGCCCACACGGACGAGGTCTTGCGAGCACTCCTGGAGCATGAAGCCCCGCTGTTGGAAGATCTCACGATCAGATTCGAAGAAGATAATTTTGAAGAAGAAGAATCTAACGAACCTCATATCTTACCATCCCTCTTCCTCGAGAAAACCCCGTCCAAGCTTCAGCACGTCTATCTCGAAGGTTGTGCCCTTCCCTTTCCGCAAACGATCTTCTCGGCAGCGCTCACTACTTTGAAGCTTGACTTTGCGCGTATCTGGACGAACATGGATCAGATGGTCGAGTTCATGCGCACAGTGCCGCTCCTGAAAGACTTTGAATACGAGAATTACGGCGACCCCGCGTCGTACGGGTTCGATCCCGCGCTCTCGCGCGTGCAGCCCCTACGCTGCGTAACTCTGGCACATCTGCGCCGCTGTCATGTCCAGGCGGCCTTTGTCGTCGGCATCCGCATGTTCAGCTATCTCGCGTTCCCGCCCGATGCCTCCCTCTGTCTATCGGCGTACGAGGCCAGGGACACGAGCTATGGACAACACTATACGGATATCGAACTGGAAGGCTTGATCGCGTTTGGCTCGAAGGCTCTGAGAGCACACTATGCGGGCTACATGGAGCGCACTGGGCGTCATTACGACTCGATTGAGGTGGGACGCAATACACTGTCGCACGTATCGGAATCGCGCGATGAACTTGAATTCGGGTTCGGGATGCCGGAGGTGGATGCCCCCGACGCGCATCGGCTTCGCGCAGCCGTCGCCGCGATGTATCTCACAATCCCGGTCATCGCGCACACAAAGATGCTCGTGCTTCATGAAGATTGGGAGGGGTTCACCCTACGTGACCTGTCATACTGCAAGAACGTCGAGCGATTGCACATCAAGGGGAACGCCCTGGCGATATTTGCAAAGGCACTGAGCGAGGGAGACATGCTTGATAGCGCATCGTTTCCCGTGTGTAGCGAGATCATAATTGGCGCGGCCGATTTTTCTCTGCCGACGAGGGAGGACGCACATAGTCGGTTCCGCTTGCAGCCGGATTGGGAGCTGCAGCTGGCCGAGACTCTGCAGAGATATCAGACGAACAGGGGCGGGGAGTGCACTTTGAAGATTGTGTTTAATCAGTGCAAGCTGGGCCCGCGAACGATGGAGACTTTCCAGACAGCGTTGGGTGCTGATCGGGTACATACCACTGACCAGAAGGAAGATAACCTCAGGTAAGGTTTCTACTGTACTGTCGCATACGGCGAGGTAGCTGAAGTCAACAGCAGATACTTTGAGGGAGGCTTTGTGTTGATCTGACGAACGCAAATAAATTATAAGCAATACACGCAATAACGAACAGCGAGACGAAATATGCCAGGATGGAGGCAGGGGGGTAGTAGGAGACGGCAGACCGGATGTATGAACACAGTGGGCATCGAAGAGGTGCGAGGGGGTAGGAAGGAGGAGGTGAATACATAATGTAGGGGTGTGGAGGCGGGAAGCTCTATGGTTGTGAGTGCGTGTAGCGTACGTACGACAATCTCAAAAAATTCAGTGTACATTTGATCTGGGTGAAGATGATATCCAAGAAATATGGCACAGTCCAAAAAAGGTGAGAAGCGGTCGGGCGCTCGTGAACAGAAAGGGTAGATGGCGGGGCAGTCGAAGGCGGGTAGTTTGTCCGGTGCGTATGTAGTCCAAGGAAGATGTGAGCAGTAAATGTCGATATTGGTCGCCTGTCGAGGGTGTCCGTGCGCTATAGCTCGCTCTTGATAATCACACTAAAGCACTCCTCGCAATACGGCCTATTCTCCCTCTGGAAAAAGCTCGGATCCTCAAACGGCCTCTCGCATCCCTACACAGGTCACCTCGTCAGCAAAGCACGCACTCCGACACTCCGTGATGAAAAACCAGAAGGGCAAATTCGCGGCCTGTGGATCGTGTGGTACGACATCGGCCCGTCCCCGCCCCCGACGCCTGCGAAAGCAGCCGCACAGCCTCACCACGCAAGCGCCGAAAACCGAACGCGAAGACGCGAAGAACCACCGCTCGCTCGCGAAAAGAAGATCTTGAGCGCCGGGGGCGCATACAGCTGTCGAAGATCGCGGGCGCCTCTCGTTCCATCACAGATCGAAGAAACCCCGCGCGCGCACGGAGAACCCCTAAACGCGCGAGCCGCCTTCCGCATCGAGCCTCAAATTGCCGCATGCGGAAGTCGAGTGGACAGGGCGCGCGCCTATCACCAAGGACGCGCGCCGTCTATCAGGCGTAGGCGAATGATGGCGCTCCCACGCACGACGATTGCGCTGATGCGGGCGCGCGCGGGTGATGGTGGCGCCTTCTGCTCCGCGCAGATCGCATCTCCCCGCCCGCCACATGCCGTGAAGGGCGCGCGGGCGGAGCCGAGTGTGTCGCCCGACACAAGGCGCGAAGACGAGAAGACTGGAGAGAGAGAGGCGAGAAGGAGAGAAGCACGTACCGCACAAACAAAACACTCCCAATGCCACTTCCCGCCCAGCGCCTCGAGCGCGTCCTGCCCATCCCTCACCGGCCTCGCGCACCTCTTACACTTCGGCGCCCTCAGCCGCACATGACACGCCTCGCAGTACGGGTGTCCTCTGTACACCGTAAACGCCACGCCCTCGCCGTCGTCCCCGAACGCGCCGTCGCCGGAAAACGTCAGGTTTTCGGTCCCGGAGAGCGAGGCGTGTTTGGTGAGGAAGGGGTCGCCGCACTCGGCGCAGAAGAAGTGTTGTTCGTGGTAGGTCCGCGCGCCGAGGTCGGGGTCGTCGAGCGTGATGAAGCGCTCGTCGACGATGGCTGTTTTGCAGTGGTAGCACCGCGGGGCGTATTTCTATATCGTATCTCGTTAGCACCGTTGTAGTAGACAGCTCGTAGTAGAAATTCACCTCATGATAATCCAAATGACAATACGCCCTCCCGTCCCCCTCAAAACTACTCACAAACTCCAACAACTCGTCGCACACACAGCACCTAAAGCACCCCGGATGCCACCGCGCGCCCATAGCGCTAACAACCCTCCCAGCAATCGGCTGCCCGCACCCTCCGCACGCCAGCCTTCCCCCGCCCTTCTTGATGAGTTTATCGCCGGGCTTGAGAGGCGTGGGGAGCGGCCCGATGTTCGAGGCGTGGACATGCGGAAGGGCCGAGGGCGCGCCGACGCGCGGCAGCGGGGCGTCAGACGAGACGTTGATTTCTGGACCCGAGACGTTGATCTGCGGTCCGCCGCCGTCGTCCTCGTCGTCCGGTAGCGATATAGACGGCATCCCACCATCCTCGCCCCCGATAGATATACTCGGCACATCCCCTCCGTTCACCACCACACTCGGCGGACTAGCGACGCTCTCGCTGCCCCTCCTGACACCGGGCGTAGGGAGCTCCCTAGCGGTGCCTGACGGCGAGCGCGTACGCGCCCCAGTCACGGTCTTTGTCCCTGTCTTGACGCCCGCGTCAGCCTCGCGCTGCCGTCTCGCAAACGCACTGGGGATCGCGCGCGCACCGTTCGGATTCGGACTGCCTATGCCATTAACTTTGCTCCCGTTCGTGATGTGTGGAGACGGCGGGAGCGGCTGGGGACGCGTGGGCGAGGGAGCGCGTCTGTTGGGCTGGAACGCCTGAGGGGGAGATTGGTGAGGCGGGAGCTGGCCGGTGGCAAACGCCGCCTGAGCTTGAATGAACGCCGGACTCTGCTGTTGAACTCTCGGCGAAGTCTGTTGCACGCGGGGCGAAGCGGACGTCGGCGGACTGGTCTGAGTGGGCGTAGGGCCGTTAAATCCGAACGAGCCGGCGGACGAGGGCGTCGTCTGCTGCCCCCCAGAGCCGTACTGAGCGTTATACTGCTGCATCTGGGCATAGGCGTTCTGAGCCGCCTGCTTGGGAAAGACCTCATAGTTGCGCTCGGTATTGCTTCGATATCTATTAGCAGCGTTTCCCAGAGTGCGTCCGCGCTCGACGGTATGCAGCGGTGGCAGCGGCATTTCCCGATCGCGGCGCACGGGACTGGGCGGCTGGGAGCGGGTGCCTTTGCCGGGCATGACGATCGAGTAGGGGTTTGTGCGGTAGGGCACTCGCTCGGGCGAATGGGCGGCGAAGGAGATGGGGCTGACGGGCGAGCTTCCACGTGAATCCGAGCGCTCTGCGAAGCGGATGGGCGAGACGGGCGACGGCGTGCGGCTGCTCGGGAACTTGGCCGGCGGCGGGGGCAGGTCACGTTCGCGCGAGGGCGAGCGGCTGCGCGTGGGAGAGGGCGAGGGCGAGGGAGACAGGCGGCGGAGGATGTGATTGGGCGGGACAAAGGCCGGTTTTGCGATGGGTGCGCGGGGCAGGGCCGGGAGCGTGGTCGGCCAGGCTGTCGGGCTCGTGGGCGTGCTGGCGGGGGTCGTGCGGGGCAGCTGGCCGGTTGCGAGGGTGAGCGAGTGGGACGGCTTGTGTTGCTGGGGGACGATCTGTGGCAGGGTCTGGGTACGGGCGACTGGCGCGTTCCGGTGCTCGTCCACGATCGACCGCGACCGCCCGGGCAGCTGGCGCACCCCGTACTTGGTCGGCGACGGCGACCGCGCCTGAGGCAGGTGCGGCGGCAGCCGGGGCGGCTCCACGTACCCGGCGCCCTCGTCCTTCCAGTTGCGCGGGACGCTGATCGCGCTGATCTTCTCCACAACCGCAGACGGCGCCGCGACCGTGGGGCTCGCGGGCAACGGCCGCTGTGCCGGCGGCTGCTGTGGAACGGGTTGAGCGTCGACGGCGGTGGAGAGCGGGGGCAGGTTCCGCTTCCAGTACGGCACAAAGCCCGGCTGCGTCGACGTGTCCACCGGCGTCGGCGTCCCAGGGTTCGGCAGCGGCCGGCGCGTGGACACCACCGAGTTCTGCGATCCGTTGTTCCGCGTCGACCCC